GTGGCTCTTAATGAGACATGCTGCATTATCACGGGGTGTCTGTGCCCTACACCACTGGAGAAATTACACTGTATAGCCAATATTGCACCATCTGACATCCGCCGGGAAGTAGCAGTCAATAGTGAAAGGACCAAGGCAGAGACATCTCCAGCTCATCCCTTGAGCTGGCAACTGAACTGTGTCAGGACAAAACTACAAGAGAGGAGATTCCATCTGAACATGAGGAAGAACTTCCTGACTGTGAGAGCTGTTCAGCAGTGGACTCTCTGCCCCTGAGTGTGGTGGAGGCTCCTTCTTTGGAAGCTTTTAAACAGAGGCTGGATGGCCATCTGTCAGGGGTGCTTTGAATGCAATATTCCTGCTTCTTCTTGGCAGGGGGTTGGACTGGATGGCCCATGAGGTCTCTTCCAACTCTTTGATTCTATGACTGTGAGAGCCGTTCAGCAGTGGAACTCTCTGCCCCGGGGTGTGGTGGAGGCTCCTTCTTTAGAAGCTTTTAAAAAGAGGCTGGATGGCCATCTGTCAGGGGTGATTTGAATGCAATATTCCTGCTTCTTGGCAGGGGATTGGACTGGATGGCCCATGAGGTCTCTTCCAACTCTATGATTCTATGAAACATTCACAAGTAGGCATTTAATGGCCTAGAAGTTTCAAGGTTTGGCTTCTTACTGCCCGAGGGAATCCTTTGTTGGGAGGTGATTCTTACTGTCTGGGGAAATTCTTTGTTGGTAAGTGACCTCACAACCTCTGAGGATGCCTGCCATAGATGGAGGAGAAATGTCAGGAGAGAGTGCTTCTGGGAACATGGCCAGACAGCCTGAAAAACTTACAACACAGGTTTTTTTTTGTCGTGTCAAGAGCGACTTGAGAAACTGCAAGTCGCTTCTGGTGTGAGAGAATTGGCCGACGTTGCCCAGGGGACGCCCGGATGATTTGATGTGTTTTATCATCCTTGTGGGAGGCTTCTCTCCTGTCCCCGCATGAGGAGCTGGAGCTGATAGAGGGAGCTCATCTGCCTCTCCCCGGATTCGAACATGCGACCTGTTGGTCTTCAGTCCTGCCGGCACAGGGGTTTAACCCACTGCGCCACTATAACAACACAGTGATTCCAGCCATGAAAGCCTTCGTGTTTGGAGAGCTTGCGCCTTTCTGCTGCAGCTACCGAGGACGAACGCCAGGGGGCGACAATTTCGGCCTTTTCCGTCCCCATTCGGCCATATCCGAGTGGAGAAGGCGTGGCTTCTTAAGCCTGTCCAATGAGAGCGAAGAGGACGACAACACTCTTCGGAACTTCGTTCTCGTTCGGCACTTTCCGCTGCGAACTTGCGCCTTTCTGCTGCAGCTACCGAGGCCGAACGCCATGGGGCGAAAGTCTCGGCCTTTTCCGCCCCCATTCGGCCATCTCCGAGTAGAGAAGGCGTGGCTTCTTCCGCCTGTCCAATGAGAGCGAAGAGGACGACAACACTCTTCGGAACTTCGTTCTCAGTTCGGCACTTTCCGCCGCGAACGTCACAACGGTGCTCCCTTTTTCCCTCTCCGCCCGCTCCTCCGCCCCGAGAGTTTGTTTCCGGCTTCACTTAGTTCCTCAGTCCGCTTTGGGCGCCCCGCGGAGCAACCTCCAAACCCCTCCGGGCCGGGCTTTTTCCGGCCGCCGCCGGAAGTGGCTCGGCTGGTCCCGCCGGCCCTTGTTGTGGCTGGGCGGCGGCGGCGGCCAGGGCTGCTCCGTCCTCGCCATGGCGGCCTTCGGGGTCCTCAGCTACGAACACCGGCCTCTCAAGCGGCCGCGGCTGGGACCGCCGGATGTGTACCCGCAAGACCCCAAGCAGAAGGAGGTGAGGCGGAGGAGGGCGCGGGGCAGCGGGCGGAAGGAGAGGGCCTCTCCCCGCACAGGCCAAGGCCATCCTCGGTTGCACACAGAGGAGTATCGCTGTGATGGGTTGCAGAACCTCAGAGGGATGCCTTGGAATTCACTTTTAATCCCTGGCCACTTTGGCCCCATCTACACTGTCACATAAAATCCAGATTTTCTGCTTTGAACTGGATCATGTAGCGGTGTAGACTCGTATAATCCATTTCAAAGCAGACAGTGTACATTATCTGCTTTGATAATCTGGATTATGTGGCAGTGTAGAAGGGGCATACAACAAAAATACCACTATATGAGATAAACAATAATATAAATAAACAACAATTGGGAGGGATAGCCAATACTCCAGAGGACAGGAGCAGGATTCAAAACGATCTTGACAGATTAGAGAGATGATGGGCCAAAACTTCTTTCATCCTGGAAAGAAGTGACGAGCAGAGTGCCGCAGGGTTCCGTCCTGGGCCCGGTCCTGTTCAACATCTTTATTAATGACTTAGACGAAGGGTTAGAAGGCAGGATCATCAAGTTTGCAGACGACACCAAATTGGGAGGGAGAGCCAATACTCCAGAGGACAGGAGCAGGATTCAAAACGATCTTGACAGATTAGAGAGATGGGCCAAAACTAACAAAATGAAGTTCAACAGTGACAAATGCAAGATACTCCATTTAGGCAGGAAAAACGAAATGCAAAGATACAGAATGGGGGACAATGCCTGGCTCGAGAGCAGTACGTGTGAAAAAGATCTTGGAGTCCTCATGGATAGCAAGTTAAACATAAGCCAACAATGTGATGTGGCGGCAAAAAAAGCCAATGGGATTTTGGCCTGCATCAATAGGAGCATAGTGTCTAGATCTAAGGAAGTAATGCTACCCCTCTATTCTGTTTTGGTTAGACCACATCTGGAATATTGTGTCCAATTCTGGGCACCACAATTCAAGAGAGATATTGACAAGCTGGAATGTGTCCAGAGGAGAGTGACTAAAATGATAAAAGGGTCTGGAGAACAAGCCCTATGAGGAGCGGCTTAAGGAGCTGGGCATGTTTAGCCTGAAGAAGAGAAGGCTGAGAGGAGATATGATAGCCATGTATAAATATGTGAGAGGAAGTCACAGGGAGGAGGGAGCAAGCTTGTTTTCTGCTTCCATGGAGACTAGGACGCGAACAATGGCTTCAAACTACAAGAGAGGAGATTCCATCTGAACATGAGGAAGAACTTCCTGACTGTGAGAGCCGTTCAGCAGTGGAACTCTCTGCCCCGGAGTGTGGTGGAGGCTCCTTCTTTGGAAGCTTTTAAACAGAGGCTGGATGGCCATCTGTCAGGGGTGATTTGAATGCAATATTCCTGCTTCTTGGCAGGGGGTTGGACTGGGTGGCCCATGAGGTCTCTTCCAACTCTTTGATTCTATGATTCTACAGTATATAAACATGCTGCACTGTTCAACCTCACAGCGACAACAAACAATATCGTGCAAATTTTAAGAGTCGTATCTTCTTATGGGTAGCTTGTAGGTCAGCCGTCCACGACCGGTTTCAGCCTACTTCGGCCAGGATGTTAACTGGTGCTCCTTACAGAGAGAGGTCAACCCTCCTGTTCAAGGAGCTCCACTGGCTGCCGTTTATTTTCTGAGCCCAATTTAAGGTGCAGGTGCTTACCTACAAAGCCCTAAACGGTTTGGGACCATCCTACCTGCGTGACCGCATCTCCGTTTATGAACCCACGCGTTCACTTCGTTCATCCGGAGAGGCCCTGCTCGTGATTCTGCCTGCGTTGCAGGCGTGTTTAGTGGGGACGTGAGACAGGGCCTTTTCTGCGGTGGCCCCCTGACTCTGGAACACCCTCCCCAAAGATCTTAGACAGGCCCCTAAATTGGCAGTCTTTAGAAAGAACTTGAAGACTTGGCTGTTCCAATGTGCCTTTCCAGAATAGGGAATCTCCAATAACAAATCCCAGAAGCACTTTATTAGAACTAAGATTGCTGCACACTACACTCTGCACTTACCCTATAATCCTTACATATCATCTGTCACATCAGCACTTTTAACCCAGTACCCATTACTCTGGCCTGGCCCAGTTTTATAATATCTTGATGTATTGTCTATTTCTTGTTGTTAATATTGCTTAACTGTTTTTAATTTGCTTTAGATTTTGTATTGTTATGTTGTGTTTTGAGGCCTTGGCCTTTGTAAGCCACATCAAGTCCTTCGGGAGATGCTAGCGGGGTACAAATAAAGTTGTTAATAATAATAATAATAAATAATAATAACTTCAGGCCTTCTTCTGGTGGAAAAGTTATACACTTGAGAATATGCTCTTCTCAGGGGATACAGATTTTTTTGGGGCTCAGTGGTATAAAGTTATATACTGGCTTACTCGCAGTCAGAACACACAATAGCAGAGTATCATATACCACTGAGCCAAAAATCTGTATCTCCTGAGGAGAACAAATTCTCAAGTATATAACTTTATACCACTGAGCCGTTCATAATCTTACGGAGTGAGATTATCTGGCAGTGAGTTCACACTGCCAGATAATCTGGGATAAACAGAAAACCTGGGATCGGATGCTGGGATACAGATCCTGCCTGGAAGGGCCCTAAGTCAATTTGAACCGGTTCACAACATCAGGGCTCTTTCACACAGCCCTGTAACCCAGAATATCAAGGCAGATAATCCACAATAGCTGCTCTGAACTGGATTATCTGAGTCCCCACTGCCAAATAATCCAGTTCAATGTGGATTTTATACAGCTGTTTGGAAGGGCCTTCAGACAGGCTCTGTATCTCAGGATTTGATCCCAGGTTTTCTGCTTTAAAGTGGATTATATGAGTTTGCACTGCCAGATTTTATTTTATTTTGTGTCAAAAGGATTGCATAAACAAATAAGTATACAACTGATAAAATAAGGGGAGCATAAGCAGCTAAATAATGTTAGATCAAAAAAAGTGCAACAGCGACTGCATTGTCTGTTGCTTTAAACTGTTCTTTGTATTATCAAAGGCTTTCATGGCCGGATTCACTGGGTTGTTGTAGGTTTTTTCAGGCTGTATGGCTATGTTCTAGAGGCATTCTCTCCTGACGTTTCGCCCACATCTGTGGCAAGCATCTGAGTTGGTATTTCCTGGTTTATCTCCCCAGAGGGATACTCTTGTTGGGGGAACATTAAGAGGAGTGGTGGTTCTCATGAAACTTTTCCTTGATTAGAGTCTAYCAGGAGGAGGCTGATAGCCATRCAGTGGGTGGCTTTCACCTGCCGATAAGCTAGCCTGGAAGGGCCCTAAGTCAATTTAAACCAGTTCACRMTATCAGGGCTCTTCTACACAGCCATGTAACCCAGCCGTGTAATAATAATAATAATAATAATAATAATAATAATAATCTTTATTTATAYCCCGCCACCATCTCCCCAAGGGACTTGGAGCAGCTTACATGAGGCCAAGCYCAACAACATCTCAATAAAAACAACAAGYAGTAAGCAAAACAAACAATGCAATTAGTATAACTCACACGTAGACAATAAAACATAAGAAACCTATGGCAGGKCCAGATGTAATAGTGAAAACTTTTTAAAAAAYGCTGGACATGAACAGAGGATGTATCTAGTAGGAGGGTTTTAAATCAAAAGTGGAGAACAACCCAATGGGTAATTAAAGTGCTACTCAGGATATTTTTCAGGGGATTRTTTCCTTTATTCAGGGAAGGCACACTGGAACAGCCACGTTTTCAGGCTCCTCCTAAAGACTGCCAATGTGGAGGCTTGTCTGATATCCTTGGGGAGTGAGTTCCAGAGTCGGGGGGTCACCATAGAGAAGGCCCTCCCTCGTCCCCACCAATCGCACCTGCGAGGGAGGTGGGAGCGAGTGCAGGGCCTCTCCAGATCGGAAAGATCGCGTTGGTTCGTACACAGAAATGCGGTCACGCAGGTAGGCGTGTAACCCAGAATACAGAAGATATCAAGGCAGACAATCCAAAATAGCTGCTCTGAACTGGATTATCTGTTCACCCTTATTATTCTCACAATTGGCAGCAACTTCCCAACTTCTATTACACATGGGGGGGAGGGGGCAATGTCAGTTAGCTTATAAAGTCTATCGGCAGGTATAGGTATGAGGCATCCTGTTTCATTCTACATGTTTCATTCAGTGCTATATTCACCTGCTTTGCATGGGCAGTTTTGTGCTGGATAATCTGGGATAAACAGAAAACCTGAGATATAGACTCTGTCTGGAAGAGCCCTAAGTCAGTTTGAACTGGTTCACATTGTCAGGGCCCTTCCACACATCCATATAACCCAGAATACCGAGGCCAATAATCCACAATATCTGCTTTGAACTGGATTATCTGAGTCCACACTGCCAAATACTCCAATTGAATGTGGATTTTATACAATAGTGTGGAAGGGGCTTCAGTTTCCTCTCAGGTTAGGCCTTGATTATCAGTGCTTTCCCGTGCTGTCCTTCAGATGTTTACATTCTTTTCTCTGGCCACAGTCATGTCATGGAGACAGTCTGGAGTTCCATCAAACACCAGACTGATCTAAGACAATAGTATTGAGATCAAGAGAAGCCATGTGGAGCTGACGTAACAGAAGTTGTGTGCTCCCCATATGCCGCCCCAGTTATTAACCTGGCTGCCTCTCGTTGGACTATTTGAAGCTTCCGAGCAGTCTTCAAAGGCTATTATTATTATTATTATATACACAATAAGATTAGTACACAGCAAACAAGATCACTTTTGTATTTGATCACATGTCAGAAATTTCCCAAGTGCCTGTGTGATGTATCAACAAATTATGTGTACAGATCTGAGTAGGGTGGCCTTTTGCAACTAAAAGATAGTAATTTTGTCAGCAGAAATAAAATTTGAAGAAAACGGCACTCTCTAACTTGACACTTTCCAAAAGTCTTGTCAGCAGTTTTTAAGTGCAGGCCAAGGTCATTAGGCACTGCACCCAGTGTGCTGATCACCACTGGCTTGTGCCAGTGTCATTATTATTGTTGTTGTTTTTAATAGGAGAAGCTGCAACAGGACACTTTTGCTCCAGGGAAGGGCAAGGCTCCACTTTGTTGGGTTCATGGAAAGTTAACATCTTTTGGAGTCCATTGTGGGCAAAAGGTGAAAGTGGGCGGTGTTTTAAAAGCAGCTGAAAAAATGGTGCAAGAGAGGATTCATTTGGACAGCTCCTTCCAAATCGGAAGAGTTGGAGGATTATGATTTCCCTCGATCTGGAGACTCTACCTGTTGAGTGTCCACATGGATATGGAGACCAGAATTGATTTCTTGGTTCTGATTCTTGCCGCTGCTTCTTCTCCCCTGGAAATGACAGCTGTTACCTTCCTCTCAATCTGTTAGTTTGGAAATATGCTCTTCTAAACCATAGAAGTTCTATGGATATCAGCTTGGCATTTCTGAGGGACACTCATAGATCAGAGGCAAACATTGGTAGTACTACTTTTTTTACTTTAGTTAGTTGGGGATTCTGGATACTTTAAATAAAATCACAATACAAGCAATTAAAAACATAAACAATAAGATAAACAACATTATCAATAAAAACAACACACAATTAAAAACAGAGGGGAAGCCAAATGTAAAGTTAAAATTGGAAATATGCTGGGACATGAATGGAGGATTTATCCTGGAAATGTTGGACTAGTTGTCTCCAAAGCAGTCTAACTGATCACCTGGAAGTGTATTTGGATGAAAAATATTGTGTGTACTCCAGTTTCCTATGTAGGTTCACCACACTTAGCATTGCTGTATTTGCAACTCTGGTTTTGCTGCTGACAAAATAATACATCTCTTGGGCCTTGGCAAATAACGGGCCTCACATATGGCTTAGTCAGATTATTCTCAGGGTGGCCCTCTCCCTGTTTGTCTTGGCGTAACGTTTGTCCCGCTGTGTGCCTTCTCCTTTCTCGATCAGGACGAACTCACAGCTCTCAACGTGAAGCAGGGTTTCAACAACCAGCCGGCCGTCTCCGGAGATGAACATGGAAGTGCCAAAAATGTCAACTTTAACCCAGCCAAGGTGGGATAATCTGGATTGTCCTGGAGATAGTCCTAAATCTGGGCTTCCAGAGAATGGAAAATAGTTTTGCCCTTGGTATCTTGGTCTTCTAATTGTACAGTGTACTAAAAAATATGCATCTGTAAATACAAACATTGCACTCCGTTGTCCTTATTGTACTTTATATCCTTTCTGTAAGAATCTGAAACAGAATTGGGGAAATTTGACTTGCCAGTTTGGAGAACATAAATAAAATCTCTGGAGGGATGGACAAATGCACGTTTGTGGCTGGTTTGGGATCATTTGGGACAGTTTTCATGTGAAACATTACCCCCCCCCCCAAAAAAAAAAAAGTTAGCAGAGTTTTTTTCCTGTCTGCACTTTCTTGCTTTAAAAATTCAATGGGAGATGGCTTCAGCTGATGCATAATGCAGGGGCACTTGTGTTTTTATTTGTCATGGAGAAAAGTATACTGGAGAACTCTAGATCTCTTAAGTCCCTTGATCTCTGTTCCAGATAAGTTCCAACTTCAGTAGCATCATTGCAGAGAAGCTGCGCTGCAACACCCTGCCGGACACTGGCCGCCGAAAACCGCAGGTGAATCAGAAGGATAACTTCTGGCTGGTGACGGCCCGCTCCCAGAGCGCCATCAACAACTGGTTCAACGATCTCGCTGGGACCAAGCCCCTCACTCACCTGGCTAAGAAGGTATAGGCCAAAGTCCCAGCATTTGCTGCCAGTAATTAACTCTTTCAGCCATTTCAGTCTTTTTGAGAGCCCTGTACAAAAGCTAGGAAACCAGCAAAGTGTGGTTTTCTACCTGAGAATGTCCGTGAAGGATTCCAGGAGGGCAGCATTTGGTCCTGGGACCTGATATTTCCAAGCCATCCTTAAAGGAAGCTGAGAAGGGAAGGGAAAGTACATTCAAGAGCTGTGGAGCAGGCTTAACTCGAAGAAGTCAGAATGACACAGAAGCAGCAACTTGGCCACTATGGGAAGTGGAATCAATAATAGATAAGAGACGGGGCTAGTGAAAATCTTGTGACCACGAGATTGCATTTTCAAAATGGCCAAACCACTCACCGCAGACCAGGGGTCCTCAAACTAAGGCCTGAGGGCTGGATATGGCCCTCCAGGGTCATTTACCTGGCCCTCGCTCAGGGTCAACCTAAGTCTGAAATGACTTGAAAACACACAACAACAACAGCAATCACATGTAATCAGCCAAAAGCAGGTCCACACTTCCCATTGAAATACTAATAAGTTTATATTTGTTAAAATTGTTCTTCATTTTAATTATTGTATTGTTTTTAAGTGTTTTTGCACTACAAATAAGATATGTGCAGTGTGCATAGGATTCATTCATGTTTTTTTTCAAATTATAATTTGGCCCTCCAACAGTTTGAGAGACTGTGACCTGGCCCTCTGTTTAAAAACTTTTGAGGACCTCTGCCGTAGACCTTTCAAAATGGCCGCACCACTCACAACCCCCCTGTTATGCCAGTTCCACTGGCTGCCAGTCTGCTCCTGAGCAAAATTCAAAGTGCTGGCTTTATCCTATAAAGCCCTAAATGGTTCCGGCCCAGCTTACCTGTCCTAACGTATCTCCCTCTATGAACTATCTTGGAGGTTAAGATCATCTGGAGAGGCCCTGCTCTCAGTCCAACATCCTTTGCAGTTGCGACTGGTGGGGATGAGAGACAGGGCCTTCTCAGTGGCGGCCCTTCATCTGTGGAACTCCCTCCCCAATGAAATTCGATTAGCCCCTTCTCTCCTGACCTTCAGGAAAAAACTTAAGTCATGGATTTGGGACCAAACTTTTGACAAATAAGTGGAGCCGTGCAGTTTAGTGACTACAAATTAATGTGTTGATAAATGGAATGGCTCTGGATTACGTTTTGGATGATGTGATTTTAATTGACGTTTTTAATACCTTATGCTTTAACTGTTTGGTTTTAACTGTAATTTTAATCTTGATACATGTATGTTGGCATTGAATTGCTGCCTGTTGTAAGACTGCCCTGAGTCCCTCTGGGTTGAGAAAGGCAGGATACAAATATAGTAAATAAATAAATAGACCTAGAGCTTTGCTCTTTTTGGTTCCCACTTCTTTGATTCTGTCCCTTGGCAGGTGCCCATTTTCAGCAAGAAGGAAGAGGTCTTTGGCTACCTCGCAAAGTATACTGTGCCTGTAATGAGAGCGGCCTGGCTGATCAAGATGACCTGCGCCTATTATGCAGCCATTACAGAGACCAAGGTGAAGAAGCGACATGTCGTCGACCCCTTCAGTGGTAAGGATGACTTTTCCCACAGTTCAGAAAACTCCTGATTTGGTCAGGAATGTCTTGAGAAGTTCTTCTGACAGCTCACATGTGAGCAAGGCTCCCAGACCCATTCCTTCCTCCTCTGGCAACATCTGTTCTCCTTTCCAGAATGGACGCAGATCATCACCAAGTTCCTCTGGGAGCAGCTGCAGAAGATCGCTGACTACCACCGGCAGCTGATGGCGCAAAGCAGCTGCGGCTCTCCCTCCAATCTCATGCCCCAGGAAGTGGAGCATTCGCTGAAGCAATGGGACTACAATGAGAAGCTGGCCATGTTCATGTTCCAGGTGAGAGGAGGGAGGTGGATGCTGAGGCCCACTTCTGAAAGATGGTGGCCCATCAGCAAAAGGCCTCGTTGCCCTGGTGGTCTGCTGCCAACTCAGCTCTCCCCCTTTGCTTCTAGGATGGGATGTTGGACCGCCACGAGTTCTTGACCTGGGTGCTGGAGTGCTTTGAGAAGATTCGGCCGGGCGAAGACGAGCTCCTGAAGCTTCTCTTGCCTCTGCTTCTGCAGGTTGTCTCTTCCTTTCTAGTTGCTGTGTAGATGTTGTTGGGAACCCTTCAGTTAGTGTTCATTGAGGGAAGACAGGGCTCACAAGCCAAAACATCCAAAGGGCCACCATTTGCTCCCTGCTCCCTTTTAAAGGTGCTATCAAAAATATTTTCTTAGCAAGATATATCTAGAGGTGGTTTGCCTTTGCCTTGTTTTGCGACTGAGAGTGTGACTTGCCGACCAATGCGTTTCCAGGGCTGTATAGGAATTTTAACTCTGATCTCTCTGAGTCTTGGTCCAGTGCTCACACCACTTTGCACGTTCACTCTTGTTGCTTGTTATGTACTTTGCAGTTACTTTTCATTGCCTCCTTTGGGGAAAAGCCCTTTACAAGAGCATATCTAGAGCTCCTGGGGGCCCGAAATTTGCCCATGCCTGGGCTGACCTATTGTAGATACCATTTTCTCACTCAGACTTTGCATGGCTGTTTATAAAAAGGACCAATAGACTTTTTTGGTCCTTGGGATATGTAGCCATGCAGGTATGTTTCCCCATTGACTGACACTGCAGTGGTATTGGAAATACGACTGAGCAATCTCCCCCAGGGCCGGAGTTGAGCACCTGAAGGTCAATAATTCACATCCACAAGACAATGTGAGCTCCCGCTGTTAGCCATAGCTCCTGCCAACCTAGTGTTATGTTGCAGCCAGTAATACCTAATGTTGTACCTAGTCAGCCACTGGTATCTGATGTTTATTTATTTATTTATTTATGATATTTATATGCTGCCCTTCTCATCCCGAAGGGGACTCAGAGCGGCTTACAAGATATATATACATACAATATATTATATTATTAGTATAATACAATATCAGTATTAAATATTACCATATTGTATTATACCATTATATTGTAATATTAGTAATATTACATGTAATATAAATATATAATTATAACATATTATTATTAGTAGTAGTATTATATTGCATTACATTATAATATTATAAATATTATATGTATATGCAGTATATTATATTACATTACATTATATTATATTATTAGCAAAGCACAGGAGACAAGGTGGAACTGTTCCCTGGCCCCCTCTCTCTTCACTCTGGCCCAGAGCAGCAGTTGATGCTGTGGGGAAGGGTCCCCAACTGATGACATATGCAGGAGACAAGATGGAACTGTCCCCTGACCCCCTCTCTCATGTTATACCTAATGTCAGTGGGGGTGATGGACCTAATGTTGTACCTGATGTCAATGGAGATGATGAACTTGCGAGATTTTAAGTCCAGAAAGTGAGAGCAGTGTTCCTGTAGCTGAAGGCTAAATTCTTGTGTGTCGTTGAATTTCATTGTAACAAGGCATTGAATGTTTGCCTGTGTCTGTTTATATGCTGTAATCTGCTCTGAGTCCCCTCAAGGAGAAGGGTGGAATTTAAATAAAGTATTATTATTTGACACACAACAAGATAAGTACACAGCAAACAAGATCACTCTGCTGGCTGCTGTATTGGATCACACGTCAGACACTTCCCAAGCGTCTAGGACTGTGTGATGTATCGGCGAATAATGCGTGCAGATCTGAGTAGGGTGGCCTTTTGCAGCTGACAGATGATAATTTTGTCAGCGCTGATTGTTTTTAAGTGCAGGCCAAGGTCTTTAGGCACTGCACTCAGTGTGCTGATCACCACTGGGACCACCTTGACTGGCTTGTGCCAGAGTCTTTGCAGTTCTGTCTTATATCGTGTAAGCTTTTCCTTGGTTCTTGTCAATTCTGCTGTCACCTGGGATTGCAACATCGATGATCCATCCTTTGTTTTTTCCCAAAATTGTGAGGTCAGAAGTATTGTGCTCCAAAACTCTTGTCAGTCTGAATTCAGAAGTCCCAGAGTAATTTGACATATTCATTTTGTTTAACTTTTTCAGGATTATCATTATTATTAGTATTATTATTACTCGCTTCTCACACCAGAAGCAACTTGCAGTTTCTCAAGTCGCTCCTGACAAGGGGAAAATATTATTGTGTGAATTATTATTCCCTAGAACTAAACTGGCTTTGTATTGTCGAAGGCTTTCATGGCCAGAATCACTGGGTTGTTGCAGGTTTTTTTGGGCTATATGGTCGTGTTCTAGAGGCATTTTCTCCTGACGTTTTGCCTGCATCTACGGCAAGCATCCTCAGAGGTAGTGGGGCCTGTTGGAACTAGGAAAATGGGTTTATATATCTGTGGAATGACCAGGGTGGGACAAAGAACTCTTGTCTGTTGGAGCTAGGTGTGAATGTTTCAACTGACCACCTTTTCTCTCTCTTTCTCTTTTCCTGCAACAGTATTCCGGGGAGTTCGTGCAGTCGGCCTACTTGTCCAGGCGCCTGGCCTACTTTTGCACCCGCAGGCTTGCCATGCTGCTGGACAGCACCGGCGGGCACCAGGCACACCACCTGGCAGCACAAGCGGCCCCCCCACTCCCCTCCACGCCGACCCCCCAACCCGCGGCAGGCAACCCGCCCCCCAGTCCCTTCAGCGACCTGCTGCTGTGTCCTCAGCACCGGCCGGTGGTCTTTGGCCTCAGCTGCATCCTTCAGGTAAGTCAGAGCAGTAGGACCAAAACTACCAGAATCAGAAGTCTAGTAGAGAGTGCCTAAGGCGAGAGGAGCAAATTCAGGAGATTCAGGGGCTGTTTCCCACACATTTAAAAAGAAATTACGGAATGGTCACTCGGTTTAGGGAGAAAGAACAATTTTCCCTTTGGGATGATACAGCCTTGCAGGTCACTTGGAGCCCTTGGGCCAAATGATCTCCTTCTTAAAAGGTGGGAAAGTAAACTTGACCATCCACTGGTTTTGGTATCCACAGAGGGTCCTGGAACCAAACACCAACTAATACCAAGGCCTTGCTCTGATGGAGGTATAAGCTTGTGGTCTTATACTTCAAGCTTATTCCTGTCTCTAGGGGTGCGGATCTGTCTTCTGTAAAGTAATGAAATATTATCAATAACACCTACCACAAAAAGGCCTGTAGCCCTACAAATCCCATTTTCCACATCATTTCAATTCAATACCATGAAAAAGAAAAATGATGGCAAATGTGAATCTCCATGAACTTCTGGGGACCACCTTTTGAAAACCACTAATCAAGGAAAGGCATGGCCTTGTTAGAAGTCAACCCTTTGAAAAAGTGATGTTCATAAGCCTTCATGTAATGGCACGCGGGTGACTCAGCTGTTAAACTGATAAACCATGTCTTTGAACTGACAGGGATAAAGACATGCCACTCCACAAAAAACATATACTTTGCTAGCAGGTTTTATTGTTCTAATGTTTATTGTTGTTGCTTTAATGTTTATTGTTTTGTTTTTTGAGTTTTATTGTTGTATTTGTTATGCTGTTGTTTTATTGAGGGCCTTGGCCTTTTGTAAGCCGCACCCAGTCCTTCGGGAGATGTTAGCGGGGTATAAATAAAGTTAATAATAATAATAATAATAATAATTTTGAAAATGTTTAGTTGAAGTTGAAATTGCAGTTGCCCAAAACATATACTCTCTTGAAACCTCTTAGTTTAAAATATGCACTCGGAGACAAAAACAAAGTCTTCTTTAAAAAGTCTTCTTGTTTACTCACAAATATCTTGTATTAATTCAGCATACAGGCACATTTATAGATAGGATGTAGTTTCTCTGTGTTGAGGACATAAGGCATCATTCTTAATCAATAGTCCAAAGTCTTTAAGTATACATCATATGAAAGTCCAAACTGTATAACCTTATTTATTTATTTATTTGCTATATTTACATACTGTCCATCTCATCCCGCAGGCGGCTCGGGGCAGTTTACAGTTGGTGCCAAAACTGTAAAATACAATTTCAATGCAATAAAACCAATGTACTCACTGCTTCTCAAAGCAAATGTATAGTAAACTGTCCCTGCATAAGTCCAAATGAAACTGCTTCCATTGAAGTCCAAAAGCATACTGTATCCACCTCCACTGAGGTCTAAAGCTAACTGCTAACATTGAAGTCCAAAACATACCGATAACAAAATGGAGTCTTGAGTCTGAACATGCTCAGTGCAATCATATGTTTGTAGCCCCTCCCACACCAAAGATGTCAGTCAAGCTGATAAAGCAATATATATATATATACACACACACACACACACACACGTACATACACACACACACACACACACACACATATATACATACAATACAATACAGGTTAGCAAATATATACATTAACAAACAAATAGTGAAGGCTTGGAAGGCTGCTATTTCCAACACTGGTGAGGTTCTAGTTCCAATCTGTGTTAACAAGTCCTGTATTCCCAGTGTTTAAGAGTAAATAAGCATTATTTCTATAGTTAAAATAGCCATCCCCTGCCATGCGTTGCTGTGGCCCAGTCTGTGTATATGTGCTTTGTGTGTGTATATATGTGTATGTGTGTATATTTGTGTATATGTGTATATACTCGAGTATAAGCTGACCTGAACATAAGCCTAATTTTACCACAAAAAACTGGGGAAATGTATTGACTTGAGTATAAGCTGAGAGCGAGAAATGCAGCAGCTACTGGTAAATTCCAAAATAGAAATAGATACCAATAAAATTACATTAATTGAGGCATCAGTAGAGTAAATATTCAAAAATATTTACATAAAATTGTAATTTAAGATAAAGCTGTCCAACTCTGATTAAACCATTATTCTAACCTTCTTCAGTGTAAATGTGCTTACATATCCTTCCAATAATAATAAAGGAAGTAAAATTATAAATGTAATAAAAATAATAATAGAGTAAAATAATGGAAACGTAATAAGAGAGTAAAATAATAAATAATGTAATAACAATAAAGAGTAAATTAATTAATTAATTAATCGTATCAGGCAACCAAACAGTTGTATTATATTTTTGACAGAATAAAACAAACAAACATACAAAAGACACAGAGTTTGCAAGCTTGGTAGTTGAGTAAATGTCCTTTGACCAGTATCTGGCCACTTGGAGTGCCTCTGGTGTTGCCGCAAGAAGGTCCTCCATTGTGCATGTGGCAGGGCTCAGGTTGCATTGCAGCAGGTGGTCAGTGGTTTGCTCTTCTCCACACTCGCATGTCGTGGATTCCACTTTGTAGCCCCATTTCTTAAGGTTGGCTCTGCATCTCGTGGTGCCAGAGCGCAGTCTGTTCAGCGCCTTCCAAGTCGCCCAGTTTCCTGTGTGCCCAGGGGGGAGTCTCTCATTTGGTATCAGCCATTGATTGAGGTTCTGGGTTTGAGCCTGCCACTTTTGGACTCTCGCTTGCTGGGTGTTCCAGCGAGTGTCTCTGTAGATCTTAGAAAACTATTTCTTGATTTAAGTCATTGACGTGCTGGCTGATGCCCAAACAAGGGATGAGCTGGAGATGTCTCCAAATAATAAATGTAATGATAATAATAAATAAAGTAAAATAATAAATGCAATAAAAATAATACTAATAACAGAGTAAAATAGTAAATAACATTGACTCGAGTATAAGCTGAGGGGAGATTTTTCAGCCTAAAAAAGGGGCTGAAAAACTAGGCTTATGCTCAGGTATATACAGTATGTGTGTTTGCATATGTATTGTAATTTTTTTTTAATTTTTGGGCTTTTTAAGTTTTTAAGAGTGATGGTCACTCGTTGCCCTGATAGGTGAATCGTGTCCAAATTTGGTGTCAATTCGTCCAGTGGTTCTTGAGTTATGTTAATCCCACAAACGAACATTACATTTTTATTTATATAGATGGTGACTTGTTGTACTTTAACAGGAAATAAATAAGGGGCAGGACAGAACAGTGTTTGGTTACAAAGTGAGAGTTCTGTGTTTCTCAGGAGCTCAGCCCTTCTCTCTCTTCCGCTTGCAGAGCATTGTTCTGTGTTGCCCCAGTGCGCTTGTCTGGCACTATTCCCTCACTGACAGCAGGATAAAGACTGGCTCCCCGCTGGACCACTTGCCCATCGCTCCCTCTAACTTGCCCATGCCTGGGGTCAACACGGGCTTCATGCAGCAGGTGAGAAGCTGGCCCCTCTGCACTTCTGGCCTGGCCAACCTCTTGGGTATCTTTGTTAATGCCAGTGAGGCTTCAGGGCACCCTCATTCACATACCCTTCCCTCTAATGCCCCTTCCCTGCCAGGTCCGAGCGAAGCTCCGGGAGATTGAGCAGCAGATCAAGGAGAGGGGCCAGGCGGTGGAGGTGCGCTGGTCCTTTGACAAATGCCAGGAAGCCACTGCAGGTGAGTCTGCACCTGAACTCTGCTACAGTTTTGTTCCCCCTCAGGTTTGCTCTCCTGGCCTTTTCCTTTCCTCTCTCTGCTTAGTGGCTGAATTATCCTTCCTGTTTTCTTCTCTCAGCCTCATGATACCTGACTTCCTTTTCCTTCCCTCCTCCATCCCAGGGTTCACGATTGGCCGGGTGCTGCACACGTTGGAGGTCCTAGACAGCCATAGTTTCGAAAGATCGGACTTCAGCAACTCTTTGGACTCCCTATACAATCGGATATTTGGGGCAGGACCAAGCAAAGATAGCCACGAGGTGAGGGCTGCTTTGGGGCTTAGTTCTTGGGGAAAATTGGTTAATGGGAAATAGATATCAGAGGATTTTGGGCAACAACATAGCACTGCGATAGAATCATGGAGTTGGAAGAAACTGCAGTCCAACGATGCAATGCAGGGAAAGCACAACTGAGTTGCCTGCGGGCTGAGAGGGGAGGTATATAAATATAGCAAATAAATAAATAAACTAAAGCACCCCCAACAGATGGCCACCCTGCCTCTGTTTAAAGCCTTGTTCTTGTAAAGCATCCAAAGAAGCAACCTCCACTGGACTTGGAGGCAGAGAGCTCCACTGTTGAACAGCTCTTCTTACAGTGAGAATTTTTTGATTAGAAATATTAAAAATTAGATATTTTAAGTTACGAATATGTGAGTCAAGCACTGAAAGGGTTAAATGGATGCAATGACTCAGCCAAAGCTGCAGTTCAATATAAGCAGGTGTGCCTGTAGCTTAGTACGCCTTAGTGTTAGTTGCCCTCAGTATGAAGAGGCTTCAGTCTGAGAGAGGCCTCAGTGTGAGCTAAACCTCAGTTTTAGTAGGCTTCAGTGTGAGGTAGGCCTCAGAGTTAGCAGGCCTCAGTGTTTGAGAAGCCTGGTGTGAGAAGCTTCAGTCAGAGAAGCCCGAGGTTGAAGACCTCGTATTTGAAGCTCCAGCGTAAAGGCTGCTGTGAGTGAAAGGTTACTGTGTGAAGCTCCTGTGCAAGTTCGGTGAGAGAGGAAGATCAGTGAGAGCGAACCTGTTTATCTACATGAGAAAAAAGCCCAGAGAGGAAGCAAAGAATGTATAAAGGACTTTATTTGTGTTATAGAAACCTTGTTCTTGTTAATAGTGCAACCATATTATTTTGCTATAAAGAAAAGCCTCTTAACATTCACATAAGCTGACTGGATTCTCAGCCCACCCTCTGCTTCCCTTGCCAGCCTTGTAGTCTGACGCCAGCCTTGTTTCCTGACAGATCTCCCCTGACGATGATGCCGTCGTGGCTCTTTTGTGCGAGTGGGCTGTCAGCCACAAGCGCTCTGGCCGCCATCGGGCAATGGTCGTGGCCAAGCTGCTGGAGAAGCGGCACTCAGAGATCGAGGCAGAGGTGAGCTCCATGGAAGAAGTTGACGGGGATGAACCAGTAGTAAAAAGGAGCAGAAACCAGGTAGAATAGCAACTCCATCAGTCACCAGCCCTTGGGTTGAGGTTTAGAATCCAGTGCAGAGCCTGAGGCAAGCCATAAGGCTAAAGTTGGAAGTCTCAGCACACGATGGTTATTATTTATTTATTTATTTACGACATTTGTATGCTCGCCCTTCTCACTCTGAAGGGGACTCAGAGTGGCTTACATGTAATATGTAAATACAATATATTATATTATAACCATAGCACAATATTAGTATTATATATTACTATATTGTACTACTAGCCATCCCATGCCATGCGTTGCTGTGGCCCAGTCTGGTGATCTGGAAAATAAAGTAATGAGAAAGCGTTGGTTTCTAATATATGTAATGTCTTTATGCTTGTGGGTAAACACTATTTCTTGTTGTTTCTTTGTCAGTGTTGATGTGGAGATTGTCTGATTTGCCTACTCTGGAACATGCAACGTATAATTGTCCTTCTTTAGGGGTCCCTTTCAAATCTATGATACTATATCTGAGTGTGTGTGAATCATATCTATCTATATCTATGGCCGGATGGCTCGTGGTCAGGAAGGCTTTGATTACGTTTTCTTGCCCTGGTGAAGGGAGTTGGACTGCATGTCCTTGAGTATTTTCTGTTGGTCAAGGAGGTTCTGTGTGAGAAGTTTGCCCTAATTCTGTCGTTGGTGGGGTTCAGAATGCTCTTTGATTGTAGGTGAACTATAAATCCCAGCAACTCCCAAAAGACAAAATCAAATTTTTTTGAGTGAAGGACATACATTAGGTTATTAGGTCCAAATTTGGTGTCAATTCGTCCAGTGGTTTATGAGTTATGTCAATCCCACAAATGAACATTACATTTTTATTTATATAGATACCATTATACTGTAATATTATTAGTAATATTACATGTAATATGAAATACAGTATATAATTATAATATCGTATTATTATTATATTGTATTACATTATAATATCTATATTATATAATGTTATGTTGGCACAAAAATAGATGTGCGATGGAGTGCTATTTCTCAGAGTGCGCTCTCTAGTGGGTCATTCCACGGTCTCAAATACCTCTCCTTGGACTCATAACTCTATGTAACACGATTTTTGTTCCTGGATTATAAATGTCATTTCCTAATTGGTTCTATCATGAAAACATGGTAAAAGTTTATTTAACCGCAAAAACTTTGTCTTCGTGGGAAGGACATCCTGCAGCACATTTTGCTATAGTTTTTCAGTGAATATTTCATAGATTTTCAAACAGTTCAACATTGTTTCTGGAGTAGAACAACTACTTTCAGAGTAAGTACTGCACTATTAAACAGAAAATAGCACTTTCAAACCAGGAGCAGATTTTTTTCAAATTTTGTTAGATAGTGTTATGTAGTCTGCTGTGCATCTGGGGATCAGTGCCACTGTACTGAATGTATTGATGCTTCCACAAGTAGTGTTTAAGGTTATATATTGCCTTCCAGGCCACAAGGGTCCCTGAACAGGGAGCAAATAGAAGCAAATGAAACAATTGCATTTATTAAAAAATTCATCCCCCCCAAAAAAAAATTCATTAAAATACTCTTTTTAAAATTCTCAACATTGAATTTTATGGCCACAGGTTGTAGCTTGTGTATAAGTCTATATAGAGCCCGAGAGTAGATTTTTAGGGGCCTAAATGTATGTGTTTTGGTGTAACCTGTACATGAAAGTGGAAGCAACTATTTGGTGTGGGACTTTGTTCCTACTCAAACTCACCTGAGAATTTTGTCTCCCAAATGCATCTTCCTTGAGAGAAGGAAGGGGAAACAGAGCAGAAGAGGTAGCCCTCACTCTGTCCTTGCCTTCATTGTTTTCTGCCCAGCGCTGCGGAGATTCGGAAGTGGTGGATGAAAAGGGCTCCATTTCCTCGGGTTCTCTCTCGGCGGTCAACGCTCCCGTCTTCCAGGACGTCCTGATGCAGTTTCTGGACACCCAGGCGCCCATGCTAAGTATGGCTTCTTGTCCCGGCTTCGTGTCTTCTATGGAGCATGCCCAGAATGGGCCAGATGGTAGGGGAAGAAGGCCGCTTCCTGACCTCCCTGTTCTTCCCTTGGCAGCCGACCAAACCAACGAGAATGAGAAGGTGGAGTTTTTCAACTTGGTGCTGCTCTTCTGCGAACTGGTCCGCCACGACGTCTTCTCGCATAATATGTACATGTGCACGCTCATCTCCCGCGGTGACCTGGCCATCGACCACGGCCCCCGGCCCCCTTCGCCCTTCGATGATGCCGCCGAGGACCACGACCGGAAGGAAGGGGAGGGCAACAGTGGCATCAAGCTGGAGGTCTGCGTGACCGCTCGCACCGGGAAGCTGGGCCAAGGGGAGGGTCCGTGTGTGTGCGTGCCTGCGTGTGCTTTTAGGGGCTTGCTGGTGGGGCTTCTAGCATCCTGAATGGCCGCACCTTGTCTCCTGTCTCTCCCAGGACACGGGCCTATCAGAGTGCCAGATGGACATTGACCACAACTCCAGTGCCATTTTTGACGACATGGAGAAGACAGATTTCTCGGTAGGAAAAATCTGGCCAGGGTCTTCTGAAACCCCATATCCTGATGCCATCTCAGCATTTTGGGACTGTAGCTCCTAACATACCTCAGTATTGGCTAGGATTGATGGGAGATGTAGTTCAGTAGATATCTGGACGGCCATATGAATTCTATCTGGTTTTACCAAATTTTTCTGTTCACGCATCAGCTATGGAGGCATCTCGTCAAGACTCTGCCTTTGGTTCCTTTTACCAACTATGCTCTAAATGGCAGTGGAAGAAATCCCCTGAGATAGGTTTTCATAGGTGGACGTTCCCCTTTTTGCATGAGGCCATCATTATGTGGTTTCTCCACTTTTCAGTACTGTTTCTCCCCCATTCTAAAAGACCTTGAAAATGCCTTTATTCTAAGGCTGGAGGCCCTTCCAAACAGACATATAACCCAGAATATCGAGGCAGAATAACCCACAATATGGGCTTTGTAGTGGGTTATGTGAGTCCACACTGCCATATATTCCATATATATATATATTCCATATATTTCACATGTTTTACGTAATTATGCTGTTGTTTATTGTTTACATTTTCAGTTTTATTTTATTGTAATTTGTTGTTTGGGCTTGGCCTCATGTAAGCCGCTCCAATGGTGGCAGGGTATAAATAAAGTTGTTTATTATTATTATTATTATTATTATTATTATTATTCCAGTTCAGAGCAGATAATATGTGATTTTATTCAGCTGTGTGGAAGGGGCCTACATTTCAGGCTTTTAGGTATAAAACATGCTGGGGTTTTTTTGCCTGAAAGCGCCTCCATAATGTGGTTTCCAGAATTGAACCTGACGCAGTAAAATGATTTTCCTGGCTTAGCCATAAGGACTGCATTTCTCAAATCGAGATGAACCTTGACTTCTCAGATTCTCCCTCCCAGTAGCCTAATAATAATAATAATAATAATAATAATATAATATATAATATTTATATTATATATTTATATTATATATAATATTTATATTATATATTATTATTATTATTATTATTTATACCCCGCCACCATTTCCCCGAAGGGAACTCAGGGCGGCTTACATGAGGCCAAGCCCAAAACATACAATACAGCAAAATAAAATACAAAATGCCGGCAACAAAATTTCATCAGAATAAAATACATAAAGTAGCAAAATAAAATAAACAAAGGAGATTGACATATATAAATTCAAACACAATGGGCAGGCCAAATGGACGAGGTAAAATGATAAAACCCTGGTGGAGATAGGAATAGAAAAAGTGTAATTGAGAGGATGAACAGTGGGGTTAGACTTTTAGTTTACAACAGGGTAAAGTGCATCATAAGGATAACACTAGATGGAACAAACAGAACTCAGGCAAATGGTCACACTCCAAAGTGCGAATACCCCTGGCAGCATGGACAGCGGGAGAGACAGAAGCTGGTGCCCCTTGACATAGTTGGCTTGCTTCCCCCAGGCTTCCCCTTGCTCCCTGGTGCTCAGCGAAAGGTGTGCTGTGCGTGAAAGGCCTGCCGCTCTTTGGTGTCTCAGCCAGGAGACTCCAGGCCAACCCCGCTTTTGTCTCCTACCTGGGCTGCTCTTCCTTCTCCTTCCCGAGGCACGCATCCACCTCACGGGGTCTTATTTTGTCTCTGTGTCCCTTCTTTCCCCGCAGATGTTCTCCCCTCCCATGCACTGTGAGTCCAAGGCCAGCCCTTCCCCTGAGAAGCTGGACCCGGAGAAGGAGAGCAAGCTGCTGCTGCTGAAGGACAGGGCCGCGGATGGCTTGTTGGCCTCGCTCTACGACCAGCCTCGGCACATCCAATACTCGACGCACTTGCCCATCCCTCAGGTAGGAGAAGACCCAGCCTTGTTTGAGAGTGGAATCACATGACTTGGGCAATGCTCCTTCTTTGGGAATTCATGTTCCCAAAGATAAGTCCAAAGTTACACTCAGAAGTGGCTGCATATATCCTTTTTAAAATTCGATTTCTGGAGGGATCTTATCCCTGCCTCTTGTTTTCTTGCATTCTTGTTGAGGTACATGTCGCACCACAAATTATTTTACTGAATAGTAAAATAGGCAGTAAGAAGCCAGACATTGAAGCTGAAAGGCTGTTCAGTACTAATCAAAGTGGCTAGTTGAAACGTTCACACCTGCCTCAAACAGACAAGAGTTCTTTCTCCCACTCTGGACATTCTACAGATATATACTGTATATACTCAAGTATAAGCCTAGTTTTTCAGTCCTTTTTTTAGGCTGAAAAAGTCTCCCCSGGTCTTATYCTTGAGTCYATGTTATATATTATTTTWCTTTGTTGTTGTWATTATTATTATTATTATTATTATTATTACATTTATTATTTTACTCTATTTATTATTGTTATTGTTACATTTATTATTTTACTGTATTGTTATTATTACTGTTATTATTACATTACTCTATTTATTATTATTGGAGGACATGRAAACATATTTACATTGAAMAAGGTGAYYATAATGGTTTAAACAGAGTTGGACAGTGTTATCTTGAATTGCAGTTTTATATAAATATTCAAAAACATTTAARCTACTGATGCCTCAATTAATATAATTTTATTGGTATCTATTTTTATTTTGAAATTTACCAGGAGCTGCTGCATTTCCCACCCTRGGCTTATATTTGAGTCAATCCATTTRCCCAGTTTTTTGTGGTAAAATTAGGTGCTTCGGGTCAGCTTATATTRGAGTATATACGGTAAATCCCACTTGCCTAGTTTCCAACAGACTTCACAACCACTGAGGATGCCTGCCATAGATGTGGGTGAAACGTCAGGAGGGAATGCTTCTGGAACATTGCCACACAGCCCAGAAAACTCACAGCAACCCAGTGATTTTGGCCATGAAAGCCTTCGACAACATATTTTACTGAATGCTTTATGCTGGACAACTGGGGAAAGTAGGGGCACATATTTAATCCGAAAGGCAAGACAGCCATTTGTACACGGAGAAGCCTCTCAGCTCTCCCTTTTCCAATTCCTGGATTTTCAGGAGGAGTCCAGTAGCCACGAATGCAACCAGAGGCTGGTGGTCCTCTTTGGAGTTGGGAAGCAGCGGGACGATGCCCGGCATGCCATCAAGAGGATCACCAAAGACATCCTGAAGGTGTTGAACAGGAAGAGCACAGCCGAGACAGGTCTGTGGGAGTCCTGACCCCAAAGGAGTGCCTACTGGGCTGACTGGGAGGGCCGTGGGGGAGTTCTAGAGGAGGCCAGAGCTGAAAATGGTCAGAGGCACCCATTCCCTGCCCCGCACAGTGCTTCCAGGGAGGGAGCAGAGATCTGGGAAGATCTGGAGGGCTTTTCAAACGAGGCCTATTGAGTCACAGGCTGTGCTGTGCTGTGCCTGGCCTTCTTTTTCAGGAGGGGAGGAAGGGCAGAAGAGGAAAAGGAACAAGCCGGAGGCCTTCCCGACAGCCGAGGACATCTTTGCCAAGTTCCAGCACCTTTCTCATTTCGACCAGCACCTTGTTACCTCTCAGGTGAGCACTTCGAAGGTGGAGGCAACTTGGAGGCCTTCTTTATGAGTGGACCTCTTGGCAGTTTGCTGAGAGAGTGTGACTTCTATCAGTGTGGGCCAAACTGGGGCAACTGCGCAAGGAAAGCTTCTTATTTATGGCTCTGCTCTTCCCAGGTATCGCGCAACGTTTTGGAGCAGATCACCAGCTTTGCCTTAGGGATGTCCTACCACCTGCCTCTGGTGCAGCACGTCCAGTTCATCTTTGACCTGATGGAATATTCGCTCAACATCAGCGGGCTCATCGACTTCGCCATCCAGGTGATCCCCTGAGGGTCTCTGGACTGCTTGGTTTTGGGTTGGGTGGCCATAAAGGGTTTTCTAGGCGTAAACTATATCTGGTTTGGGGTTGGGTGGCCATAAAGGGTTTCCAGGCCTAATCTTTGCCAGGTTTGGTGTTGGGTGGCCATGAAGAGTTTCCAGGCATAATCTGTGCCTGGGTTGGTGTTGGGTGGCCTTAAAGGGCTTCCAGGCCCAATTTGTCCCTGGTTTGGGGTTGGGTGACCATAAAGGACTTCCAGGCCTAATCTGTGCCTGATTTGGAGTTGGGTGGCCTTAAAAGGTTTCCAGGCCTACTTGTGCATGGTTTGGGGTTGGGTGGGGCCTCATCTATACATAGTTTGGGGTTGGATGGCCATAAAGGGCTTCCAGGAGTTGGGTGGCCATGAAGAGTTTCCAGGCATAATCTGTGCCTAGTTTGGTGTTGAGTGACCATAAGGGGCTTCCAGGCCTAATCTGTGCTTGCTTTGGGGTTGGGTGGCTTTAAAGGGCTTCTAGGCCTAATCTGTGCCTGATTTGGAGTTGGGTGGCCATAAAGGGTTTCCAGGCATAATCTGTGCCTGGTTAGGTGTTGAGTGGCCTTAAGAGGTTTCCAGGCCTAATTGTGCATAGTTTGGGGTTGGGTGGCCATAAAGGGCTTCCCGGCCTAAGGGTCACTCAACTGAAAATGGTAATAATAATAATAATAATAATAATAATAATAATAATAATAATGACTTTCGAATCCGGACTGACAAAGTTTTGGAACACAATACACCAGACATCATGATTGTGGAAAAGAAAAAATTCTGGATTATTGATGTCACCATACCAGGTGACAGTTGCATTGAGGAAAAACAACAGGAAAAACTTAGCAGTTATCAAAACCTCAAAATCGAACTGCAAAGGCTCTGGCATAAACCAGTACAGGTGGTCCCAGTGATCATTGGCGCACTGGGTGCCGTGCCAAAAGATCTCTGCCGGCATTTGGAAACAATAAACATTGACAAAATCACGATCTGTCAACTGCAAAAGACCACCTTACTTGGATCTGCGCGCATCATTCGAAAATACATCACACAGTCCTAGACGCTTGGGAAGTGTTTGACTTGTGATTTTGTGATACAAAATCCAGCATATAGAACTCGTTTGCTGTGACACACTGTGCTTTTGTGTCAGTATAATAATTTTTATTTGTTACCTGCTTCTCCTCACAGCTTGAAGCAGGGTACAACACAGTCAAAACATATCAACATAAAATACCTTCAGTCAAATACATATATCAGAATGCACCATTATACAGTATATAACACCAAAACACAGAGTACAAAGATCAACATATAGCGACAATAAGAGTCAAATCCAAAACTCATAAAATTTCACTCAGTTGAAACTATGACTAATTCAGTGTGCAGATGGAGCAGGGCAGGAGACCAGCTGGTCTCCGAGTTATTTTCCAAGCGCCTTATGATAAATGAATTTAGGACTGGATCCATCACTCACTGTCTTAGAAGTCACTGGCAATGGCTGTGTAATAGGTAGATAGAGTACCGTACCACAGTGAGGTTTGACTCTGAGCAAACTAACCTCATGACACTGAGGCCAACTTTGACTTAGATTTTATTTATTTCTTTACTTACTGTATTTATATTCCACCCTTCTCACCCCGCAGGGCACTCAGGACGGATTACAATGTACATATGCATGACACAAAACATATATAGACAGACACTCAGAGGCTATTTAACAATCCAGTTTTTTTTCCTGAGGGTATTATGGCCACCAGGGGAGCTGTCACTTCACCGTCCATTTGTGACACTGATGAAGTGCTTCCTCATTCTTTGCATGCTTGCTGGAGATTTTTATGGCCTCGTAAATTAGTTAAATTAGCCTCCCCACATAAGTGGTACTTACATTTCCTACTTGACAGATGCAACTGTCTTTTGGGCTGCAAAGGTCAACAACAAGCTACACAATTTGGTTGGAAGCTCACTCTGACCTGGGCTGGCTTCGAACTCATGACGTTTCGGTCAGTAGTGATCTTAATACAGCTGACTCCCAGCCAGCTGCGCCACAGTCCTAATTGCCTTTCATTAATTTTGGGTTGTAAAACTACTGCAGCAGCATCCCCAAGAACTCTGAGCTTGGTGTGTCTGTATGTGTGATATTATCTATGTGCCACGACTCCCTCTCAACTCACATTTGTTCTCATTGATGCTGGAATCAGTTGCTGAATGAGCTGAGCGTGGTAGAAGCTGAGCTGCTGCTGAAGTCCTCCGATCTGGTGGGCAGCTACACCACCAGCCTGTGCCTCTGCATCGTGGCCGTCCTACGGCACTATCATTCCTGCCTTATCCTCAACCAGGACCAGATGGCCCAAGTCTTCGAAGGGTAAGGCCTAGGCCCTCTTTGGCTCGGACTACGGGAAGATGGCATCAGCGGTATTTCCCACCATAGAATCATAGACTCTGTAAGAGAACACATAGGCCATTTAGTACAAACTCCTGCTATGCAAGAAAAACACAATTAAAGCACCCTCGACAGATGGCCATCCTGTTGGGTGACAACTCCCTCTTATTAACAAAATACTCTCCTCATAAATGTACAGCAGAGTAACTTATTAGCAGCAGTGTGACCCAGCACCAGGAGCCCAAAGTGATAAAAACAACAAAAACACACAGACCAATGTTATATTTTCCATAGGAGGCTTTTCTTTATAGCAAAATAATATGGGTGCACTATTTAGAAGAACAAGGTTTCTACAACACAAATAAAGTTCTTTATATTTCCTTCTTTGCTTCCACGCTGGGCTTCTTTCTCATGCGGATAAACAGCTTCGCTCTCACAGGCCTCTTCTCACACTAAACTTACACAGGAGCTTCACACAGGGGCTTTATATACACAGCAGCCTTCACACATGATGACCTTTAACCTGGTGCTTCTCTCACTGAAGCTTCTCACACCAGGTCTACTCATACCGAGACCTTCTCATACCGAGACCTTCTCATACTGAGGTCTACTAACACTGAGGCCTTCTCACACTGAGGGCTCTCTCAGGCTCACATCTACCTCAGACTAAGGCCTCTCACACGGAGGGCTCTCTCACACTTAGGCAAACTTATACAGGAGCTTCGCACAATAGCTTTTTACACACAGCAGCCTTTACAATGGCCTTCAACCTGGGGCTTCTCTCACTGAAGCTTTTCACACACCGCCTACCTCACACTGAGGTCTATCTTACACTGAGGCCTTCTCACACTGAGGCCTCTCTCAGACTGAGGCCTTTCATACACTGAGGCTAACTAACACTGAGACCTTTCCCCACTGAGGCCTCTCTCAGACTTAGGCCTTTCATACACTGAGATGAACTAACAGTGAGGCCTTTCCCCCACTGAGCCCTCTCTCAGACTGAGGCCTTTCATACACTGAGGCTAACTAACACTGAGGCCTTTCCCCACTGAGGCCTCTCTCAGACTGAGGCCTTTCATACACTGAGATGAACTGACACTGAGGCCTTTCCCCCACTGAGGCCTCTCTCAGACTGAAGCCTTTCATACACTGAGGCTAATTAACACTGAGGTCTTTCCCCATTGAGACCTCTCTCAGACTGAGGCCTTTCATACACTGCGATGAACTGACAGTGAGGCCTTTCCCCAACTGAGGCCTCTCTCAGACTGACACCACTCATATGCTGAGGCGAACTAACACTGAGGCCTTCTCATACTGAGGCCTACTAACACACTGAGGCTCTTCTCCCACAGAGACCTCTCTCAGACTGAGAGCTACTAAGCTACAGACACACCTGCTTATATCGAACTGCAGCTTTTGCTGAGTCATTGCATCCATTAACCCTTTCAGTGCTTGACTCACATTTTTGTAATTAAAAATACCTAGTTAATTTTTAATATTTCTGACATATACAGCCTCTGTTGAAAAGCCTCCAAAGAAGGGGCTTCCACCAGATTCCGAGGTAGAGAGTTCCACTGTTGAACAGATCTTCATAATGGTCAGGAAGTTCTTCCTCGTTTTCAGGTGAAATCTCCTTCCCTGTCACTTGAACCTGTCTCCATTGAGTCCTAGTCTCCAGGGCAGCAGAAAATAAACACCTGCTCCCTCTTTCTTATAGCATCCTTTCACATATGTATACATGGCTCTCTTATCTCTGCTTGTTCTTCTCTTCTGGCAGCTGAACAGACCAAGCTCTTTAAGCTGCTCCTCAGAGGAATTAATGGTCTCCAAGCCTTTGATGATTTTAGTCTCCCTCCTTTGGATATCTTCCAGCTTAGAGTCAATATTTCTCTTAATATCTCTCATTGGGATGGTCGGGAGCTGGATCTTTGCAGCTGCACAGACAGAATCCTTGTTAGGTCCCTAATCCACCAAATAACCTGTATCTAGAACAGGGGTCCTCAAACTAAGACCCGAGGGACGGATACGGCCCTCCAAGGTCATTTACCCGGCCCTCGCTCAGGGTCAACCTAAGTCTGAAACTATTTGAAAGCACACAACAACAACAACAACAAAACAATCCTATCTCATCAGCCAAAAGCAGGCCCACACTTCCCATTGAAATACTGATAAGTTTATATTTATTGAAAATATTCCTCATTTTAATTATTGTGTTATTTTAAACAAATAAGATATGTGCAATGTGCATAGGAATTCATTCAAATTATAATCTGGCCCTCCAACAGTTTGAGGGACTGTGATGTGGCCCTCTCTTTTAAAAAGTTTGAAGACCCTTGATCTAGAAGCTCCCTGAACCTGAGGGGACAGCATTCATTTTCTGTGTCCCTTGGAGACACAGCGCTCTGGGGATTTTACCATCGAAGCTTCTGGGGTCAGACCTGCCCACCAGATACTTTTGTCATGCTCCCCTCCCCATTGCCCCTTCTCCTCCCCTGCCTTTCCTTCCAGGTTGTGTGGGGTGGTGAAGCATGGCATGAATCGCTCCGATGGCTCTTCGGCCGAGCGCTGCATCCTGGCCTACCTCTACGACCTGTACACATCCTGCAGCCACCTCAAGAGCAAATTCGGAGAGCTCTTCAGGTAAGGTGCCTTTCGGGTGGGGGCCTTGCAGGCCTTTTCTGGCACTCGAGTGCAGAGCAGTAAACCTCTTTCGGCTCAAAGGCTGAATTCAGTTTCAAAATAATTGCTTGAGGACTGCTTTCTAGGGATGCATCAGGTCAAACATAAAAGGGATGGGTCAGAAATACTGAGCTACCTTAGCTTTTAAAGCCAGTGTAAAAAAAGGTAAATAATAATAATAATAATAATAATAATACATCCTGCATATCAGATATTTACATTATGTATTGTCGAAGGCTTTCATGGCCGGAATCACTGGGTTGTTGTAGGTTTTTCCGGGCTATATGGCCATGTTCTAGAGGCATTTTTTCCTGATGTTTCGCCTGCATCTATGGCAAGCATCCTCAGAAGCTTTTCTGCCTTCTATAGTATAGCAAAAGACTCAGATGTGCTTATGGTCAAGCCAGGCCAGCTCAGACAAGCCATCACCTCACTACCTCTGAGGATGCTTGCCATAGATGCAGGCGAAACGTCAGGAGAGAATGCCTCTAGAACATGGCCATATAGCCCGAAAAAACCTACAACAACCCACTTAATAATAAGTGATATCATTTAAAAAAACTTCATTTATACCCTGCCACCATCTTCCCTTGACATTAAGTCTAGTCGTATCCGACTGGGGGTGGTGCTCATCTCTATTTCTAAGACAAAGAACCAGCATTGTTCGTAGACACCTCCAAGGTCATGTGGCCAGCATGACTGCATGGAGCACCGTCACCTTCCCGCCAGAGCGGTACCTATTTGCATGTTTTTGAACTGCTAGGTTGGCAGAAGCTGGGGCTAACAACGGGACCTCTCCCCGCTCCCCGAATTCAAACCACTTACCTTTTGGTCAGCAAATTCAGAACCTCAGCGGTTTAATCCACTGCACCACCATGGGCAGTATAGTCGGGTTTAATATGGGTAATATGTCCTCTTTAGGAATCTGTAGGACCTTTGACATGACTTTATGGTCAACTTCCCACATATAGTTGTGCTGTAGGACCTACACAAATGCTTTTCTAGGCATTTGTAGGTCCTCCATCATGATCGTGTGGTCAGTTGTCCATAGAGTAATATTGGAGGACGTGAAGGTGACCTTAACCGCAGCAAATATGACTGTTTCTATTTATTTAAGAATTAATGCGACAGCCTTTTGGCTAAAAGGACTCCCAGAATGGCTTATAAATAATTCATCTTAATACTTCCTACTATACCTAGGACTCAAACATAAGGAAAGGGTAGTGGCAGCTGGGGAAAAGCTGAAGGAGCCAGACTGTGGCTTGAGGTTCCTCATCTGTGATGATGATGTAAATGATGCTTTGCTTCCAAGGAAGAGGCCCCAGTGAGATCAGTAGGGTCTGTAAGGGATATCCACACTAGACACTGTCTTGGGGTCTCCCTGTTGTTGGGTGGAAGGGGCCCCGGTCCGGGAAGAGTGTTTTAGGAGGCCTCCTGCCCCTTTGGCCAATGCCTTCCTGCCCCACCAGCGACTTCTGCTCCAAGGTGAAGAATACCATCTACTGCAACGTGGAGCCCTCCGACTCCAACATGCTCTGGGAGCCCCTCTTCATGATCGACACCATTGAGAACCCCTCAGCCCACAACTTCACCTACACCAACCTGGGCAAGAGCCTCACCGACAACCCAGCCAACCGCTACAGCTTCGTGTGTAATGCCCTGATGCACGTCTGCGTGGGGCACCACGACCCGGACCGGTGAGCACAGGATGGATATGGGCAGGGGCTGTGCCTGTGGGGATGCCCAGCTGGAACCATAAAGAGCAGATTAAACAAGATTTACCGCATTGACTCGAATCTAATTCACACCTCAGTTTGCAAAACCCTGAAACCAAAAAAAAGGATTTGCTGCCAAGTGTCATGCGCAGCGGCAAAAAGAGCACTCTTCATAATTTAGCCCCAAAAGGTCCGCATCACAGTTGCTGCCTGCTTAGCATAATAATAATAATAATAATACTTTATTTATACCCTGCCACCATCTCCCCAAGGGACTCAGGACGGCTTACATGAGGTCAAGCCCAGCAATACAACAGTGCAAACGTACAACATAAGAATAAAATAAAATAAAATACAAGAAACATTATAAATACACACATCAAACAATATAAAATCACAATATTTGCACACAGAGAATTGATATAATGTATCTGGACAGGCAGCAACAATAAGGCACAGCTTTTGTGACCAAATTACATTTGGCAGCAAATCCTTTTTTTTGGTTTCAGGGTTTTGAAAATTGTGGTGCGCGTTACATTCAATGGTGCATTAGACTCAAGTAAATACAGATAAATGTTAAAGTATTGATGTCAACAATATAGTTATTTATATTTGATTATATATTAATATTTTATTATTCAATGGGTCCATTGTGTCTTGCAATGGACATCCTAAATGCATCCGTCTGACTGACTATTATAACTGGGACTCATTTTTAGGGGTCGTACTGCGTGCTGTTGTAGTTCAGCCCATGATTGTGCCTGCTTCTAATGTCAATGAGGAAGTGGATCATGGGATTTCTGGGCCTACTGAGCTTGCATGAGATTTTAAATCCTAAAATTGAGCGCTCTGTTTCTCTGCCATTAGTGAAAGCGAAGGCCACATTCCAGAGAGTGGCCCAAAGAAGTCTTTCTCTAGGGAAGCTAGTTCAGAAGATGAAATACCAGGTGGAGAGGTTAATGAGCTGAGAGATAGGAGGCTTAGTTTTCACAAACTCCGAGCTGCTTCACTGACTTGGCGAAGATCACAGCGCTTGTTAGAGAGAAAAAAGTTATCAGATAGTCATGGAAGACAGAATGCTTTCATGGCTTTGTTAGAGAAACTAGAGAGATCAATGTTAGTCAACGTTGGTGATTGAGGATACATCTCTCAAGTCAAGCCTACTAAGGGATTTCTAATTCCATGTTTCCTTTTGCTCTTGTTCCATGCTTCCAAGTTTAAAGGATTGTCCTGTATCTTGTGTATTAGATTTATGCTACCTTGTGTATCCTGGTTCCTTTGTATTCCTGGTTTTTGATGCTACTCTTGTACCTTGAATCTTGTGGAATATTTCATACCTTTTGACTTTGACATTTTTACAGGGTGAGGCAGCATAACTTCCTTTTTTCAAAACTTAATAAAATCCATTGTATGAATCAGATTTTTTTTATTATTATCTGTTATAACATTCCAGTTTCAATTAGAGTTATTACTTAAAGTCTTTTTGTTATTATCTGGACATTTATCAATTTATTCGAGCTGCTGAGGTTGTTTTTCAGCTATGTTTATATGCTTGGTAATGGCGGTTTCTTATTCACTCATTATTTTCGTTTTCAGTCTCCATCGGCATTCATAAATTATGAGTGTATTATGAGCTTATCATTTACCTTTTGAAGATTTGTTTCTGCTCATTAGGTCCTCCACCGCTTTCCCTTTCTTTCCAGTCCAAAAGGATAAATCCAATTCTCTTTATCAGCTCATTTTTCACTGCTTATTGCTATTTTGCTCAAGTGTGGCAAGGGATACGTCTTTACTGGGCCATGGATGACTCCCCCCCCCCCCTTCTCCATTCTCTGTACACTGAGTAAAGCGATTTTTGGCATTTGTCATGACTCTTGCCAGCATAGCAGGCGTTATGTTGGCAATTTCTTCCCGGATGTTGGTCTTGAAATCTTGTAGGGTCCTTGGACGGTTCACATAAACACGGGATTTCAAAAAACCCCATAGAAAAAAAATCACAAGGGGCCAAATCTGGAGAGCGGGCCGGCCACTCCAAATCCACTCGAAAAGTAGACCTCAATGGCAAAAGCACGCTCCTCACTGTTCCAACACATGATGGCGACTGAACTGTGTCAGGACAAAACTTTATACTCCCGCCTCTTGAACGAGACCACTAGCGCTCCGCTACGTCTTCAACCGATTGAATGGCGCACATTTTTTAAAAGGAGGTTATGCTGCCTCACCCTGTACTATTTTTGCTGAACCGCTTTTAATATATTTTCAATAAACTGCTTTGCTGATGTAACTTGGACTGGAGTGTGGTGGTTAAGTTCAGAGGTGCTTCCTGTCCTGGAATACAACATGAGCTTCCTGAAAAAAATCGTGCTAGGGCTTATTTTCCGGTGAGGTCTTATTTGGGGAAAAGAGCGTCGCAGCTGATGGTTATTTGAAGTATCCTTGTGTAGCAGTAGATATTTTGAGGTGTTCCAACCAATGACCTACCCTTCTTTCTTTCTTTCTTTCTTTCTTTCTTTCTTTCTTTCTTTCTTTCTTTCTTTCTTTCTCTCCCTTCTGTGCTATTTCTTTCTCAGGGTCAACGACATTGCGATCCTTTGTGCCGAACTCACTGGTTACTGCAAGTTGCTGAGCGCAGAGTGGCTGGGCGTCCTGAAAGCCCTATGCTGCTCCTCCAACAATGGGACATGCGGCTTCAACGACCTCCTCTGCAATGTGGACGTAAGGACAGGGCCGGGATGGACATTCGAGGCACTGACTCAAAGGAGGGAGGGTGGGCTCAGAGGGAGAGAAATGTGCCTGTCAAGTAGACTGAGAGAAAGAAGAAAGCAGAATGTCATCAGAAGGGCAGACCAGGGTTGTGTTGGGAAACTTTGAAAAAGGAGAAAGCATTTGAAAAGTTAACCAGAAACAGCAGCTGCAGTTTAGCAGATGCTCTGGAATGAGGCCTTGACTAGTTGTAGACACAGACTGCTCCGTTTCAGGACTTAAAATCTCAGGCCCAGGAAGCCCCATTAACGGCAATATCAGACACCACCATGGGCAGAACTACAACGCAAGACTTGCCAGGTGGCACATGGCTCTCCACAAGTCTCCTTGTGGAGAGAAAAGCAGGGCAGTAATAATAATAATAATTTCATAAAATTTGCGGCGTGATACGTTTGCTTAGAATCACAGAATCCTAGAGCTGAAAGGGACCCCAGGGACCATCTAGTCCAACTCCATTCATTCTGCTAGCCAGGAAAAGCACAGTCAAAGCACTTCTAACAGATAGCTATCCAGCCTCTGCTTAAAAGCCTCTAAAGGCCCATGTCTGCCCAGGGATCCATCCATGGGACCGGGCTGTGGCGCAGCTAGTTAGTAGCCAGCTGCATTAAATCACTACTGACTGAGAGGTCATGAGTTCGAAGCCAGCCCAGGTCGGAATAAGCTCCCGACTATTAATAGTCTAGCTTGCTGTTGACCTATGCATCCTGAAAGACAGTTGCATCTGTCAAGTAGGAAATTTAGGTACCGCTTTATGCACAGTGATTGAAATTCAGGGTGGGAAAACAAAGCCAAAGCAGAGATCCTTTTCCCAATTTGGCCAGCTGCAATCTTTATCAGCATCCGTCATGCGAGTCCTTCCCAACAGGCGCATCGATCACCCTAAAGCCAGGGCCTGCACTGCATGACTGACAGGGAAGAGAAGGATCTGTGGCCAGTGCAGGCCTTCTCTAAATCCAAACCCAGAGAAGCAAAGGCAGGAAATCAAGGAAAAAGGGTGCCACGAAATCCTTGGACGAGACTCATCTCTCTCATAAAACCTTCCAGGAGCGTGCATAAGAATGAGGAAGTACTCCATCAAAGGACTCGGTGTCACAAGTGGACTGTGAAGTAACAGCTCCCCCTGTGGCTGGAATTGGGCATACCCTCATGAAGCTGGGAAAGCTGGAATGTTTATTTATTTATTTCTGATATTTCTATCCCGTTCGTTCTCAACCCCCGAAGGACGGCTTACATTTGGCAGCAATTCGATGCCAAATGTACAGGGCATGTAAGACATATCTGTTTCGACAGGCCTTTGATTTTTGATATTGCTGTTTTTAAATTGTTTTAAATTGTTTTTAAATTGTGTTCGATTTTAGCCTGTTCTTGTAAGCCGCTCCGAGCCCCAGGGGAGTGGTGGCATATAAGTTTGAATAATAAATTAATAAAATAAATTACCTATAACACAGCAATATAATAACAATTAAAACAATAAGTAAAACATCAGTTAAAAACAGTAAAAACAGTATTAATAGCCGTAATATCATTCCAGTCAATTCCATATCCAATTCCATGTCCAAAGTGCTATCTATGTCTGTTGTCCAAAAGCCTGGTCCCAGAACCATGGCTTCAATTTAAATTGCCTCTGTGCCTGTCTATATGTTGTATGTCTAGGGCATTGAATGTTTGCCATATATGAGTGCATTGTAATCCGCCTTGAGTCCCCTGCGAGGTGAGAAGAGCGGAATATAAATACTGTAAATAAATAAATAAGGAGCCTCCATTGAACTTTGAGGCAGACAGTTCCCGTGTTGAACAGCTCTTTTTATGGTTAGGAGGTTCTTCTTCCTAATTTTCAGGTGGGATCTCCTTTCCTGCCATTTGTACCTATGGCTCCATTGAGTGCTAGTCTCCAAGGCAGCAGAAAGGAAGCCTGCTTCCTCCTTCCTATTTCAGATATTTAAGCATGGCTCCTCTCGACCTTCTGTTCTGGAGGCTAAACATACTCAGCTCTTTATGCTTGAAGAATGTTCTCTTCCCTGAGAAAGGTTGAGCCTTGTCCAAGGATTTCCTGGCACCCTTTTGCCTTGATTTCCTGCCTTTGCCACTCTGGGTTTGGATTTAGAGAAGGCCTGCACTGGCTACAGATCCTTCTCTTCCCTGTCAGTCATGCAGTGCAGGCCCCGGCTTTAGGGTGATCGATGTGCCTGTTGGGAAGGACGGATGCTGATAAAGATTGCAGCTGGCCAAATTGGGAAAAGGATCTCTGCTTTGACTTTGTTTTCCCACCCTGAATTTCAATCACTGTGCAGTGAGGATGGCTTTAGAAACAAAATATGCTCTATTTCCCATCGTGGTCCCTGTGAATCGCACATATGGTAATTTCTGCACCTTGGCCTTTTCACAGCCATTCTGGCCGTTTTTCACCTTGGCCTTTTAGGCTTTTCCTTTTGCGGCACTGCCGCTTAAGTCTCAGAAGGCACAAATGGTAAGTTATTGTCCCCACAGGGAAAAGAAGATGCCAGCTAGTGCTTCAGGGGGGCTGACGGCAAAAGAGCTCTTTGATAGTGCGTGGCTTCGAGCCCAGACTCGCGATTCTGCCTCATTAGAGGAGTAAACACACAGAACAAGACTGCGATAGATGCCCCTCTCCAAGACATAAAAAGTAAATAATAAGAATCAAGGAACATGAAAGGCACTGCAGACTACTTCAGTCAGAGAAATCAGCCATAGCAGAGCACCTGATGAACCAACCTGGACACAGCATATTATTTGAGAACACAGAAATGCTGGACCACTCTCACAACCACCATGTCAGACTACACAGAGAAGCCATTGAAATCCACAAGCATGTGGACAATTTCAACAGAAAGGAGGAAACCATGAAAATGAACAAAATCTAGCTACCAGTATTAAAAAATTCTAAAATTGCAACAGCACAACAACAGAGAGGAAACAAACAAGGACATCTAATTACCTCTCAACAAAAGATTGCTCCAGGCACTGCCAGGCCATTGTATGCTACTCAAGGTGGTCAGTTGAAACATTCACACCTAGTTCCAGCAGACAAGAGTCCTTTGTCTCACCCTGGTCATTCCACAGATATATAAACCCCTCTTCCTAGTTCCCACAGACCTCACTACCTCTGAGGATACTTGCCATAGATGCAGGCAAAACGTCAGGAGAGAATGCCTCTAGACCAGTGATGGGCAACCTTTTGAGCTTGGTGTGTCAAAATTTGCCAAACACCTGAGCATAACTTGGGTGGGGTGTCAACTTCGAGAAAAAAAACCCATAATTTTGCAATATTTATAGTTTATGTAAGAAAAATGTATAATCCATGCTGAGTTATAGAGTGAACAATGCTCACACGTGCAGATGTTAAATTTGTAGAGCCTTTTACAAATTTAAGGATGGAATTAGATTGGCTCTTATAAGGTGTACTTCTCTGTATGCATGTGGCCGCGTGTCATCAAAAATAGCCATGCGTGTCAGTGCTGACACGCGTGTCATAGGTTCACCATCACAGCTCTAGACCATGGCCATATAGCCTGAAAAACCTACAACAACCCAGTGATTCCGGCCATGAAAGACTTCGACAATACATTAAATAATAAGAGATACTTAGGCAGTCCGCAGTCAGGTACGAAAGAAGGCAGTCCAATAAAAGCTAGTCAGGAACGAAGGTTCAAGAGCTGCTGCTAAAGTGGTGGATGAAGAGAACTGGAGGCAGTAGCCCCTCCCACTGGCTATATATACACATAAGGGGAGAGTGGGTGGGGCTAACCGCCAAAAATATTTGGTAAGATCTCTAGAAGGTTCCGAAACTGTGTGCGCAGGCGCAGAAATTACCATATGTGCGAATTCACAGGTGACCACTCGGGAAACTACGGTTACAGGTAAGCAACCTATATTTTACTCGAATCTAATGCTCACCTGTTTGGGCTAAATTTCCTTGCCAAAATTAGGGTGTATATCATACAGTCACCTTAGTGCTGAGACAAAGGCAAAGCTGCTTGAGGAGCTCCACTTTGAAGAACCTCATCTCATTTAATGGCCATGGCCCATTCCTATAGGATTCTGGGATTTGTCATTTGGTGAGGAATTAGCACTCTTTGGCAGAGAAGGCTCAAGATCATGAAGAACAACATTCCCCATGCCTCCATAGCATTGAACCAAGGCAGTTAAAGTGGATTCATTCTGCAACATAGATGTACCCCAAGGTGTTCTTTTCCACTGGCGGAAGGCATTGTGCTCTAACCTTTTGTTTTTAAAGAAGAGATACTAAGCAGGCAGCAACAAAAGTGTGCTCCTTTTGGGACCAAATGACAAAGAGTGCACTTTTTACTGCTGTGCTTCATATTTGAGCGTCATATAGGGAGCATACCACCCTCCTGTTATGTCAGCTCCACTGGCTGCTGATCCAATTCTGAGCACAATTCAAAGTGCTGGTTTTGACCTATAAAACCCTATATGGCTCCGGCCCAGCATACCTGTCCAAACGTATCTCCTTTTACGTCCCACCTCGGAGTTTAAGATCTTCTGGGGAGGCCCTGCTCTCAGCCCTGCCTCTGTCTCAAACACGCTTGGCGGGGATGAGGGACAAGACCTTCTTGGTGGTGGCCCTCCCACCTGTGGAATTCACTCCCCAGGGAAATTAGGTCATCGTCATCCCTCCTCACCTTTAGAAAGAAGATAAAAACGTGGATGTGGACCAGGCCTTTGGGTAATTAGGCGGAAATGACAATGACAATGTTGACAATGGCTTGGAAATGGATTATGGATAAGTTTAATGGATTACTCAATCATAGAATTCGGCTAGATAATGGCCACCAGACTGGTAATAGTTCAGTAGATTGTAAGTATATTGTTTTAGTGTTTTAATGTTTTAACTATTATAATTATTGGTGTTTTGTATTTATTATGCGGCATCAAATTGTTTATTGCGGCATCAATTGGAAGCCACCATAAGTCCCCCCCCCAGGAGTTGAAAAGGGTGGGGTAAAAGTGTTCGAAATAAATGAATAAATGAATAAATTTGACAGCAAATAATTTTGGGGCTTTTTAGGGTTTTGAAAATCGAGTTGCGCATTGGACTTCCTCTTTCAGCTAGTGATTGAGGGAGAAGTGGCAGAAATAAACAAAGAAGCAGAGGGACTTTTGCTTATGTGTCCGGCCTCTAATGCAAAGCTGAGCAAAGTCTCCTTTTGAGGATTCTGCAAAATTAAAAAAGGAAATGATCATGATTTGGTGTTGGTTTGGATCCAACACCAAATCATGTGTTGGATCCAATTGCTGTTTTGGCATCTAACAAAGGAATTCTCCCCTTGAATTAGGGGTTTTTTTTTGGGGGGGGGGGTTAGAAACCTGGCCTGAATTTTGCCTGAAATATTTTTTAAAAATATTAAAAATATTAAAAATTAACTAGGTGAGAGAGGCACCAGTCTGAGAGAGACCTCAGTGTGAGGTAAACCTCAGTGTTAGTAGGCCTCAGTATGAGGTAGGCCTCAGAATTAGTAGGACTCAGTGTGTCAGGGGCTTGGTATGAGAATGCTTCAGTATAAGAGAAGCCCAAAGTTGAAGGCCATCATGTGTAAAGCTCCAGTGAGAAGGCTCCTCTGTGTAAAAAAGCTACTGTGTGAAGCTCCTGTATAAGTTCGGTATGAGAGGAAGCTCAGTGAGAGTGAAGCTGTTTATGTGCATGAGAACGAAGCCCAGCATGGAAGCAAAGATGGAAGTATAAAGAACTTTCTTTGTGTTATGGAAACCTTGTTCTTGTAAATAGTGCAACCATATTATTTTGCTATAAAGAAAAGCCTCATATGGAAGAGATAACATTGATCTGTGTGTTTTTGTTTTTTTATCACTTTGGGCTACTGGTGCTGAGTCACGTTGCTGTAATTAAGTTACTCTTCTATACATTTATGAGGAGGGTCTTTTGTTAATGAGCCCATAATGAGCCCAACTCAATTTCTCCTCTCTCTCAGGTGAGTGACTTGTCCTTCCATGACTCCCTTGCCACGTTTGTGGCCATCCTCATTGCCCGCCAGTGTCTCCTCCTCGAGGACCTCATCCGCTGTGCTGCCATCCCCTCCCTGCTCAACGCCGGTGAGTCCCTTCACTCCTGACAGGGTCATTTGAGTGCAGAAAAGGGACAGAAGACTAATTAGGATTGTTGCAGAGTAGAAACCAAACTTTGGAATACAGGCAGTCCCTAGGTTTTGGACAAGAGAGGATCTGTAGGTTTGTTTTCAAGTTGAATGTGTTTGTAAGTTGGAGCAGGCTTGTTCTTCAAGTGTATCTCCATTCAAATATATGCATGTATGTATTTATGTTTCCTTACACAAAGTGGCTGTTTCAGTGTGCCTTCCCAGAATAAGGAAACTCCCAGCCATATGTCCTTAAACACACTTTAATAATGATTTAAGATTGTCTGCACATTTCTTCCCTCTCCAAAACCTCTATCTCAATTACATGTCACCTGTTCATGCCCAGCATTATTATTTTTTAATTTTAATGATTACATTTGACCCAGCCATAGGTTTTAAATGCGTCGTGTTACTGTTAATTTTTTTTGCTTATTTTGCTTATGAGTTTTTTGAATTGTTTTTGCATTATTGCTATTATTGTTTATTGTTATATTGTGGGCTCGGCCTCATGTAAGCCGCTCCGAGTCCCTTGGGAGATGGTAGCGGGGTACAAATAAAGTATTATTATTATTATTATTATTATTATTATTATTATGTGTATGTATATAGATAGATAGATAGATAGATAGATAGATAGATAGATAGATAGATAGATAGCTTTGGATAGCACAGGAAAGGGTCAATGCCCAGTAACTAATGACTGCATTGCTCTATGTGTCCCAGTTTAGAAGATTTCATCTCTCTTTTTATTCCTGTGACAATTGGATTTAGAAAAAAAAAAAAGATTTGTTGTGGAAACAAGGATTGGAGAAAAAGCTTCAGTGGAGACCCTTTCCCCCATGATAATAACTCTTTCATGAGTGGATTTCCCTTCTGAGGGGTAGATTCTTCTCAATTCGGTTGCCATTCCTGTTCTTAACTATGAGTTGGATGTCAGTTAGATGTCTGTAAGTTGGGTAGTAGTTGCTTATTGGACCCCAGAACTACAGCAAGGCCAGCTGGGTTCTGGAAGCGGGGAGCCAAAGTGTTGCTTTATCTTCATAGCTGCTTTGCAACCACACCCTTTCGTATGATATTGTTTCTAGCGCCCACTTTTTGCTTGATGTTCAGGCAGTGCTTCTTGTAGGTCAGAGCATGGTCCAGAGTGACTCCCAGGTATTTGGGTATGCTGCAATGCTCCAGTGGGATTCCTTCCCAGGTGATCTTCAGAGCTCGGGATGCTTGCCTGTTCTTGAGGTGAAAGGCACATGTCTGTGTTTTAGATGGATTAGGGATCAGTTGGTTTTCCCTGTAATAGGCAGTAAGAGCATCTAGAGCTTCGGAGAGCTTCTGTTCAACCATCTCAAAGCTCTCTGCTTGAGTGGTAATGGCACGATCATCAGCATAGATGAAACTCTCTGACCCTTCTGGCAATGGCTGGTCATTTGTGTAAATGTTGAACATGGATGGAGCGAGCACACTCCCCTGAGGCAGGCCGTTCTTCTGTTTCTGCCATCTGCTTCTCTGGCCCTGGAACTCAACAAAAAAGCTCCTGTTTTGTAGCAGGTTTTCTATGAGGCGGGTGAGGTGGTAGTCCTTTGTGATATTATACATTTTTCTCAGGAGGAGAAGTGGCCAGATACTGGTCAAAGAACTTTTAATCAACTACCAAGTTTGCAAAATCTGTGGGTTTTTTTATGTTTGTTTGTTTTCTGTTAGAAATGTAATACAATGGTATGGTTGCTGATGACACGATAAATAAATAAAAACAACACCCTTATGTACCCAAAAGGTAGAATGTGATCTCAATGGAGTTCCCGTGTTTCTTTCCTGCAGCTTGCAGTGAACAGGACTCTGAGCCCGGTGCCCGCCTGACTTGCCGGATCTTGCTGCACCTTTTCAAGACCCCTCAGCTGAATCCCTGCCAGCAAGACAGCAGTAAGCAGCCCCTTCCTCTCTCTGTCTCTTGGAGGAGGCTGTTTAGACCCTGTTCCTCATACGCAAGTGGCGATCAAGCGGTTGTTCTTTGCCAGCCTTCCCTCAGCACCTTGTTAGTGCTCCTAAAGTTAATGCCTTTTTAAAAATTGGGATCTGTGTGAGGAATAGATGAGTAGGGTATTTAAAGATTGGCCAATAACATTGTTTAGTGACTAAAAATCATTAATAGAAAGAAAAACAATATTAGACAAAAAATGTTAGACAAGAAAATTATTTTTTTAACATAAGTAATTTTTTTGTCTGCTTTCTTATGATACACCATTTGTTAAGAGTGTTGATAATATAACATGTTGTATGTTACTAGACACATTGCTTAGTGACTAAAAATCATTGATGGAAAGAAGAACAATATTAGACAAAAATGTTAGACAAGAAAATTATTATATTTTTAACGTAAGTAATTTTTTTGTCTGCTTTCTTATGATACACCGTTGGTTAAAAGTGTTGATAATATAACATGTATGTTACTAAACTGGTGTCAGGATCACCGTATCAGCCTGGGCATCAAGAAGGGAGGTGCAGGGGCACGGGGGGGGGGGGGGGGGGGGGGGGGGGGGGGGGGGGAGGTCTGGGTAGAGTTAGGAAAGGTAGTGTAGATAAGACATCTGTTTTGTGAGGGAAATTGAAACTGCAGTTCAACAACTGTGGGCACCGTGCTTGGCCACTGGGGGCAGATGGGAGTTGGAGCTGATATATTCAGAAAGTTTGAGCTGGAAAACTTTAGAACTGTCTTTTAGGATTGTGGAAGGAAGGAATAAACCACATGTCTCCAACGTTTTGTTGTTGTGAGCTTGATTTTATCTTCCAGAATCTGACATTGGGGTAGAGTCAGGGATTTTTCTCCAAAATATAATCTATAGTTCATTATTATTATTATTATTATTATTATTATTATTAGAAGGTTTACAATCACCATTGTTAGAAAATAACATTCTATGGAGGAAAAAATATTTGAAGGTCTGAAGAAAATTGTAATGTAATAGTAGTAGATACTATGCATGTTCTGATAGTTATATATATCATTAGTGTGTTCTATTTTGTCCTTTTATTGAAGAATAAAAATTATATTAGTTACTACAAAGTATTCACTATGGGGAGGAGGGAGGTTGATCCCAAACTTACACTAATTCTTTTAGTGCGCAAGTGGGTGCCAAATCCCAGAATCTACAGTTTATCCAAAACGAGTTGCCAAAAGCTGTAATCTGAGCTGGCAGTCGATCTTTCCTCCTTTAGTCCTTATGTACCATTCAAAACTAGGCATCCACCCATGTGTGTCCCTTGGAGAATCACTGCTTGGGCCACGCTATCTGCCCTTTTGGAGCCAAGAGCATCATCCTGGCTTTCTTTCCGGTTTCTCCACAGGCAAGCCATTGGTGGGCATCCGCTCCTCATGCGACCGGCACTTGTTGGCCGCATCTCAGAATCGGATTGTGGACGGAGCCGTCTTTGCCGTCCTGAAGGCAGTCTTCGTTCTCGGTGTGTATTTTGGAAAGGCCAGGGAACCACAGAACAGGGTCTGATGTGTTGGGTCAGGAGGGACAACTGGCACAGCCTCGTTTAGTCCAGGAACTTGGAGCAAGTGGTGGAACTTCTGATCGAATCCTTTTTCCCAATTGTAGGTGATGCTGAACTGAAGGGCTCTGGATTTTCCCATCCGGGAGGGGTTGACGATCTCATGGAAGACGACAAGAAGCCAGCCGGCCGCATGGTCTCTATTGAGACAGCCAGCCTGGAGGTTTACGCCAAATACGTCCTGAGGAGCATCTGCCAGCAGGTCAGCGGGGCAGGCCCTCAGCCCTCGGTTCTCTATAGTCTGCCTACTCAGTGCTGGAGGAGTTTCATCTAGGATTACTCTGACTGTGGGAAGGAGGAGACTCACATGCCTGCAAGAACTTAGGGATATCCTTGCAACATCATGCACAAGATGGCTATCCCCTTCTTCTGTCCTGCATGTCGACCCTTTGGTTTCTTTCTATTGCTTGAGAAGGAATGGGAAAAACTTTGAGGGTTTGGACTCAACTGTCCCAGAATCCTTCAGCCAGCACTGGAGAAATGTGGTGTTTTGAACTACAATTCCAAGTTTTTGGGATTTGTAGTCCAAAACACTAAGATTTTTTCAACTTTATTATTTATTTATTTATTTATTTATTTATTTCACATATTTCTACCCCGCCCTTCTCAACCCCCGAGGGGGGACTCAGGGCGGCTTACAAAAGGCACAATTCGATGCCTACACAATAATACAGATACACATATATAAACAGCAATTAAAACAATTATAACAGTTCAGAACAATCAATTATACTCACAATCAATAAAAAAAAATCAATCTCATGCTCAACGTTCACCAACTCAGAGTCCATAAATTCGTTCTACCTTGTCCATTCCTATCAGTTGTCGTTGTCCTTTATTTATCTGCCAGATTACCCAAATGCGTTCGGACAGATTCCTCCTGTTGTGAGGAATGTTGGTGCATTCTACCCTCCACAAATTCATATCTAAAGTAATGATATGAAGCGTACCTGTCCAAACGTATCTTCTTCTATGTCCCACCACGGAGTTTAAGATCTTCTGGGGAGGCCTTGCTCTCGGCCCCACCTTTATCACAAGTGAGACTGGTGGGGACGAGGGACAGGGCCTTCTCAGTGGTGGCCCCTCGCCTGTGGAATTCACTCCCCAGGGAAATCAGGTCGTCAACATCCCTCCTCTCCTTTAGAAGGAAGCTGAAGACATGGATATGGGACCAGGCATTTGGGTAATTTGGCAGATCAAAAAGGTAATGATGACTAGAGTTGAAAAGGACTATGGTAATGCTAAATGGATTGACGGATTTTAGAACTCGACGAACGCGGGCTATAGAGCGGTTTTAGTTGATTTTGTATTAATCATATGTTTTTAATTGTTATTGTTATTGCATTTTATTGTAATTGTTAGCATCGAATTGTGCCGGATGTAAGCCGCCCTGAGTCCCCCCTAGGGGGTTAAAAGGGCGGGATAGAAATGCCCGAAATAAATAAATAAATAAATAAATGAGTAATGAGTGCCAAGGTCTCCTGATTTCCCCAGTTTGGGTTTGTATGGCCAGAACATCCTGGTTTGAGCTCATGCTATGATATTACACTATGAAACAAAATTTGAAAAAAAATCTGTTTATTTTTTAAAGTGTTTTTTCTTGTTTAATTGTGCAGTACTTACTTTGAAAGGAGTTGTTCTCCTCCAGAAACTTCATTTTTGTGGCTGCTGTAAACTGGGTTGAATTGGTTGAGACTCAATGAGACATTCATTGAAAAACCAGAGCAAAATGTGCTGCAGGATATCCCTCCCACAGAACCAAAGTTTTTACAGTTTAATAAACTTTTTCCATGAACTAATTAGGAAATGACATTTAAAACGAAGGAACAAAACTCTTTTTACATAGTGTTGTTATATATTTATTTACACCCACTTTGGATCTTGTATAACAACAATAATCATCGCCGTCTGTTCCCTCTTCTTGGCCAGGAGTGGGTGGGCGAGCGCTGCCTGAAGTCCCTGTGTGAAGACAGCAACGACCTGCAGGACCCGGTCTTGAGCAGCACCCAGGCCCAGCGGCTGATGCAGCTCATCTGCTATCCGCACCGGCTGCTGGACAATGAGGAGGGCGAGAACCCCCAACGGCAAAGGATCAAGCGCATCCTACAGGTCTGAACCCCTGAGATCCCGGCCATAGGTTTTTAAATCCTTGCATGTTAATGTTTATATGTGATTTATTTAACTGTACTGTTGTTGTTTTTGTTTATTGCTTTCTTATATATTGATGTGTTGTTGGACTTGGCCTCATGTAAGCCGCTCCGAGTCCCTTGGGGAGATGGAGGCAGGGTATAAATAAAATATTATTATTATTATTATTATTATTAGTGAAGGGCAGCGCCTCTCCCTGTCTCTCTCTCGGGCTCAGTCCAGCAGGGTGGGACTTGTGGACACACAAAAGAGATGGAATGGGGTCCCTGAATTATTGCCAGAGCCACCAAGAGGGCAGGGAAAATGGTTGAGTTGTGAGTGGATATTATTTATTATTATTTAAAACTTTTATATCCCGGTCTTCTCACCTCCGTAGAGGGACTCAGGCCGGCTTACAGCAAGGATTCAATGCTACTAATACAAGTTAAAACACCATACAACAATACAAGATGCAATATTTCCATGTAAATATTGCATTTTGGATTTCTTTCTTTCTATCTGCTCCATCTGAAGAGCAACATATTCCAAATAAAAATATTTAGAAAAAAAGTACAAGATTAAAATACATATAGCTAAAATACAAATATACCAAATCGCCAAGGTAAAATCCTGTCCGCATATGTGGTCACTCCCTTTGGTCTGTAACCAGTCTCAGCCATTTTTCTGGGAATGCTTTGTTCCATAACCAGGATTTCACTAGCCTCCTGAAGGACAAGAGGGAGGGGGCAGATCTAATCTCGCTCGGGAGAGAGTTCCATAGCCGAGGGGCCATCACAGATAAGGACCTGTCTCTCGCTCCCACCAAACGCGTTTGCGAAGGTGGTGGAACCAAGAGTCAGGCCTCTCCAGAAGATCTTAATGTCCTTGATGGTTCATAGGGGAGAATACGTTCAGACAGGTATATTACGCCAAAGCAACCCAGGAGGTGACAAGAGTTTGCCCTCATTGCAGAACCTGGACCAATGGACGATGCGGCAGTCTCTGCTTGAGCTGCAGCTGATGATCAAGCAGACAGCAAGCAATGTAAGTGTCTCTTGGGGTCACGTTAAAGGCCACACTTTGCTATCCTTGGGTACTGGCTGCATTTCCGGCAGGAAAAGGGTGGAATGGGGTCTCTTTTTGGGGTCTCCTCAAACTCCTTCTCCCTCCTTCTGCAGCAAGAAATGAACTCCTTGCTGGAGAACATTGCCAAGGCCACTATCGAAGTCTTCCAACAGTCTGCTGAGACCAACTCTGCCAGCAACGGCATCGTCAACCTGGGCGGCTCCACCAGCCTCGGCCCGGCCAACACCAAGGCCAAACCCATCCTCAGGTCAGGGCCTGGATGAACAAGGGGAAGAGGCTGCCGATGGGCCTCAACAGGGTCTGAAAGAATAGCCTGGCCCAACTCTCTGTCTCTGTCTCTCAGTTCCCTGGAAAGGTCAGGCGTGTGGCTGGTCGCTCCACTCATCGCCAAGCTTCCAACCTCGGTCCAGGGCTACGTCCTGAAGGCGGCTGGGGATGAGCTGGAGAAAGGGCAGCACTTGGGGTCCTCATCCCGCAAAGAGCGGGACCGCCAGAAGCAAAAGAGGTGAGGAGAGTCCCGGAATGACGGGAATGAAGAGAGGGGGGAGGTCTGAAAGCCCCTATAACAAACTAAGCCCCTATTTCTCCCATTCACTTGCAGTATGTCCCTCCTGAGCCAGCAGCCTTTCCTGTCTCTGGTGTTGACCTGCCTGAAGGGCCAAGATGAGCAGCGTGAGGGCCTCCTCACCTCCCTCTACAGCCAGGTCCAGCAGGTAGGCTAGTTCTGCAGCCCCTTATGAAGAATCCCATTCATATGACTCTGGCTTTTGTGAATGTATTTCCTCATTATCCACGGATTCAGTATCCACTTCTTTTCTCCCATCTAGATTGTGACCAACTGGCGAGAAGACCAGTACCAGGACGACTGCAAAGCCAAGCAGTTGATGCATGAGGCACTCAAGCTGCGGCTCAATCTGGTAAGCAGCCAGGCAGATCATGGGATTCTTGCCAGGGTTTCTCAAGCTGGAAAAATGTGCTCTGTGTAAAAGGTGAAGGTAAAGATTTCCCCTGACATTAAGTCTAGTCGTGTCTAACTCTGGGGTGGTGGTGCTCATCTCCATTTCTAAGCCAAAGAGCCGGTGTTGTCCGTAGACGCCTCGTAGGTCATGTGGCCAGCATGACTGCATGGAGCACCGTTGCCTTCCAGCAGAAGCGGTATTTATTGATCTACTCACACTTGCATGTTTTGGAACTGTTCGTTTGGCAGAAGCTGGGGCTAACAGTGGGAGCACACCCCACTCCCTGGATTCAAACCGCCAATTTTTTTGGTCAGCAAGTTCAGCAGCTGAGCAGTTAAACCTGCTGCACCACCAGATTAATTTACTAGATGATGCCAATTGTGCCTGATATGAAGTGTTGGGGATAGATCGATTGATGGGGACGAGGGAGAGGGCCTTCTCTATGGTGGCCCCCCGGCTCTGTAACTCACTCCCCAATGATATCAGACAAGCCCCCACATTGGCAGTCTTTAGGAGGAGCCTGAAAACGTGACTGTTCCAGTGTGCCTTCCCTGAATAAGGAAATAATTCCCAGCAAAATGTCCTCAGAAGCACTTTAACTACTCGTTGGGTTGCTCTCCCTACATTTCTTTTAAAACCCTCCTACCAGATACATCCTACCTCTGTTCATGCCCAGCGTTTATTTATTTTTTAAATTTTAAACTATTACATTTGGCCTGGCCATAAGTTTTTTAAATCCTTGCATGTTATTGTTTATATGTGATTTCTATTAATTGTATTGTTTTTGCTTATTGCTTTTTGTTTTATTGATGTGTTGTCGGGCTTGGCCTCATGTAAGCTGCTCCGAGTCCCTTGGGGAGATGGTAATAATAATAAAATTATTATTATTATTATTATTATTATTATTATTATTAATAATAATAATTATTATTATTATTATGGGGCTGAGGGGAGATATTTCTTCCACTTGCAAAAGAGAGTCCATGGGGCTTCCCTGTTCTTCTGGACCTTTTTGGCCCAAGGACCTCAATCAGCTTTGGAAAATCTCTTGCAGAAAAAGGGGACACATTCCTGTCAAGGGCAGGGAGGGAAGCAGAAACGGTGAAGATCAAAAATACTAGTCTGTTTTGGCTGAAAACTTTGGGGTAGACAAGTTTCACCAGTTTAGAATTGTTTTGCTGTAAGGTGGAGGAAGAAGCATTTGGTTCAGAAGCTGAGAAACTACCATTTCATGGGGAAGTGGTGTGGCACTGTATGGATTTGGCCCTCTGCAGCAACTTGCCACAAGCCTCAGCCTTGCATAAAACAGGATAGACAGTTCTAGTCCTCTCTCTTTCTATGAACTGGCACGGGCTTTGGCATTGGCAGGGGAGGCCCTTCTCTCAGTCCCACCACCATGTCAAGCATGGTTGGTGGGAACGAGAGAGAGGGCCTTCTCTGTGGTGGTGCCCCAGTTCTTAAATACCCTCCCAAAAGAGATTTGGTTAGCCCCCACCCTTGTATCTTTCCGATCCAGCCTAAAAATATGGATTTTAAAGCAGGCTTTTGACCTCAAATGGTCCCATATGAGGTTGACACTCTGGCACTTTCGTTGTGAATTGATGGCAGCTAGTTTTATCTACAGATGGTCTGAATTTTTTTAAATTGTACTATTTTATTTTATATTATATGGGTTGATAGTGGTCATTTTTATAATTTCTATGTGATATTGTTTTATACTCATGTACCGTTTATGTTATATGCTGCACCTTGGGGTGCCTTTATAAGCTGCTCTGAGTCCCCTTGGGGAGATGGTGGCAGGATATACATAAAGTTTATTATTATTTTTATTTGGGTTGCACTGTCCCAATGGGGCCAAGCCACTTGGCTTTTGCACCTAGAGGAATCCAGCCTCCCTTTTGGGTTTCTGGCCAGGACCATGTGATCCTGGAGCCAATGGATTTCCTTTGGGGCCAACTGCCTCCTCTTCTTCCTCCTGAAAGGTGGGCGGCATGTTTGACACTGTCCAGCGCAGCACCCAGCAGACCACTGAGTGGGCCGTGCTCCTCCTGGACATCATCAGCAGTGGCACCGTGGACATGCAGTCCAACAAGTGAGTCTTCCTTCACTCCTGCCTTCCTTCTCTTCCTTCCTTCCTTCCTTCCTTCCTTCCTTCCTTCCTTCCTTTCTTCTTTCTCTCCTTCCTTCCTTCCTTCCTTCCTTCCTTCCTTCCTTCCTTCCTTCCTTCTCTCCTTTGTTCCTTCCTTCCTTCCTTCGCTTCCTTCTTCCTTCCTTCCTTCTTTCTCTCCTTCCTTCCTTCCTTCCTTCCTTCCTTCCTTCCTTCCTTCCTTCCTTCCTTCCTTCCTTCTCCTTCTCCATCTCCATCTCCATCTCCATCTCCATCTCCATCTCCATCTCCATCTCTTCCTTCTTTCTTCTCCTTCTCGTTTGCCTTCTCTCTAGTTCCTCCTCCCATTCCTCCTTCCTCCTCCTCCTCTACTTCTTCCTCCACCACCTTTTCTTCATCGCTCATCTGTTTCTCTCCCTTCTTTTCTTCCTTCTTCCTTCCTTCCTTCCTTCCTTCCTTCCTTCCTTCCTTCCTTCCTTCCTTCCTTCCTTTTCCTTTTGTCCCTCTCCTTCCTTCCATTCTTCCTTTATTCTCTCTTTCCTTCCTCCTTCTCTCCTTCCTTCCTTCCTTCCTTCCTTCCTTCCTTCCTTCCTTTCCTCCCTTCCTTCCTTCCTTCCTTCCTTCCTTCCTTCCTTCCTTCCTTCCTTCCTTCTTTCCTTCCTTCTTTCCTCCCTCCCTCCCTCCCTCCCTCCCTTCCCTGGATTCTGTGACACCTTGTCTTTTTCCTTCCCTCTGATCCTCCAGCGAGCTCTTCACCACCGTCTTGGATATGCTGAGTGTCCTCATCAATGGGACGTTGGCGGCGGACATGTCCAGCATCTCCCAAGGCAGCATGGAGGAGAACAAGAGGGCCTACATGAACCTGGTCAAGAAGCTCCGGGTAAGTGAGAAAGGAACTGAGGCCCCGGCCCATCACTTCTCCCAGCACAGTACAACACAATACAATACAATACAATACAATACAGAATGCAAAAACAAAACTTACATCAGAAAATAATTAAAGTAGCAACGCAAAAAAAAAAAAAGCAAATTAACACAATATAAAAGTCAAACTGGAAGGGCAGGCCAGATGGACAAGATAAAATGATAATATGATAAAAACCCTGGGTGAGGTAGGAATATAAAATGTGTAAGTAAAGAACGGTGGAGAGTGGATCAGGCAGAGTTCAGCTCAGGCAAAGGCCTTCCTTCCTGATGATGCTCTCATTTCTCCATCCTCTGCAGAAGGAGCTGGGCGACCGCCAGTCGGAGAGCCTGGAGAAGGTGCGGCAGCTGCTCCCACTGCCCAAACAGACCCGGGACGTCATCACCTGTGAGCCTCAGGGCTCCCTGATCGACACCAAAGGCAACAAGATCGCCGGGTTTGATTCCATCTTCAAAAAGGAGGCAAGTTCTTTCCCTTGTCCTGTGTGTTGCCTTTTCTCACAGCAGCAGTGGACTCTCTGCCTTTGCATGTGGCTCCTACTGTGGACCCATATCTGAGGCCGAGGGCAAGGTGATGTCTTAAAATTCTGTGAGAAGATGTTGATTCAGGACTTTTTTCTTCTCTTTCCTTGCTGCCCCCAAAATTGTGAGCTGGTGGTTCTCAAACTGGTTTTCCCCCATGTTTTGGACTTCAATTCCCAGAAGCCCCAACCAACATGGAATTCCTGAGGTCCAAAACCCTTGGGCCAGACCTGTGCAACCTATCAGTCTAGAAATGCCTTTGGGTAATTAGGCGGAAATGACAATGACAATGTTGACAATGGCTTGGAAATGGATTATGGATAAGTTTAATGGAGTAATCAATAATAGCATACGGCTAGATAATGGCCACCAGACTGTCAGTATATTGTTTTAATGTTTTCATGCTTTTAACTATTGTAATTATTGGTGTTTTGCATTTTATTGTTGCCAATTGGAAGCCGCCCTGAGTCCCCCCAGGGGTTGAGAAGGGCGGGGCAAAAGTGTTTGAAAATAAATAAATAAAATGCATTGTAGGGGACCATAAAGCCTCAAATAAATATAAACAAATCTTCAAAAGGGAGGTACATACAATGCTTCTGACAGGGCAATTTATTGACATTTATGACCAGCAGATCCATGTTACTGTCATATGATAACGTTCCACTTAGTAATTCCAAGTATTGTCAATATGCAAAACTGGGATGAACTTATATTGGCAGATCTCAAATGTTGTACTTGGTTGTATCCACGTTGCCAGAACAGTAACTTTGGAAGTCATATGGGTTGGCACAGCAATTACAGTTTTGTTGTGCTCAAAATCCCAACCAAGAACAATCATGTATCAAAATGCATTAAGCAAGAGCAATGCGGTAAACCATGGTATTGATTCTGGAGACCCACTGCAGTCTGGGTTAGATCCTCCATGCTTATTGAATGAATTTTTCTGACTTATGTAAAGCAGACATACAGCAAATGCTTCACTTGAAAAGAAGAATAAACTTTCTGTTTAAATGTTTGATAGTTCATTTTTAATAGATTATATAATTGCCGTATATACTCGAGTATAAACCGAGTTTTCAGACCTTTTTTAGGCTGAAAAAGCCCCCCTCTGCTTATACTTGAGTCAAAGTTATTTATTATTTTACTCTTTGTAAGCCGCATCGAGTCCCTTGGGAGATGCTAGCGGGGTACAAATAAAGTTTAATAATAATAATAATAATAATAATAATAATTTTACTCTGTTATTATTATTACTTTACTGACACAAAAGCACAGTATGTCACAGCAAACGAGATCTATATGCAGGATTTCGTATCAAAAAAATCACAAGTCGAACACTTCCCAAGCATCTAGGACTGTGTGATGGGTGTCACCTTGTCGTGGTGGGGGGCTTAACTGCTCCAAGGATGCTGAGAGCTGTAATGGTGGTAGTGTAACTACCAGCAGGTTCAACCAAGTCAGAGAGGTAGCTGAGGAGTGGAACTAAGAGCACCTAACCCATTAGTACTATGGAGAAGCAAACCAAAACAATGTCTATACTGGCTCGGTTGACGCCCAGGATAAAAAGGACCGCGGTGGATGCTGTTGATTCTGGACATCCATCAACAAGTAGGCTACAGAATCAAAATACAAATGAACATTCACGGAAGTGGCAGATATATACAATGCCAGAAAACAGCACATTTATTATTATTATTATTATTATTATTATTACATTTATTATTTTACTCTATTATTTATTTTACTTTATTATTATTATTACATTTATTATTTTACTCTATTATTGCTTTTATTATTACATTTCCATTATTTTACTCTGTTATTTTATTATATTTATTATTTTACTCTCTATTATTATTGGAAGGCTAGATAAGCACATTTACATTGAAGAAGGTTAGAATAATGGTTTAAACAGAGTTGGACAATCTTATCTTAAATCACAGTCTTATGTAAATGTTCAAAACATTTAACCTATGGGTGCCTCAATTAATGTCATTTTATTGGTATCTATTTTTATTTTGAAATGTACCAGTAGCTGCTGGGTTTCCCACCCTCTGAGTGTTTGAGTCACTACGTTTTTTCAGTTTTTGGTGGTAAAATTAGGTGCCTTGGCTTATATTCGGGTTGGCTTATACTCAAGTATATGCGGTAGTTATGGGCTTTTTTGGTAAGTAATTGCCGACTGCAGGGATGAGGTTACCTATTTTTAGTTCTGCTATATGCCTGGTATCCATGGTTGGTCCCAGCTCTCTTCCAATCCTTCTTTCCTCCAAATGTCTTCCCAGGGCTTGCAGGTGTCTACCAAGCAGAAGATCTCCCCCTGGGACCTCTTTGAAGGCCTGAAGCATTCTGCCCCGCTCTCCTGGGGCTGGTTTGGGACGGTGCGAGTGGACCGGAAGGTGTCCCGCTTTGAGGAGCAGCAGCGGCTACTCTTGTACCACACGCACCTGAAGCCCAAGCCCCGCAGCTACTACCTGGAGCCGTTGCCACTGCCCCCCGAGGAGGAGGAGCCCCCCACTCCGGTGGCCATGGAGCCTGAGAAGAAGGTAGCTGAGCCGGCCAAGGTGGAGAAAGCCAGCGCCAACACCGCCAGCTCTGCTGCGGAGCCCAAGAAGAAGGCCAGCAAGAACAAGAAGCGGGCTCAGCCCACCAACAAGAATGAGGTGAGTGCAGAGGGCCCTATCAAGAGGGCAGCTCCCCAAATGGAGAATGGAAAACCTCACTTGACAAATAACACTATGTAACAAAATTTGAAAAAAATTATTCCTGGTTTGAAAGTGTTAACTTTCAATTTAATTGTGCGATCCTTACTTTGAAAGTAGTTGTTCTACTTCAGAAACTTGCTTCTTGCATGGCTGTGCGCAAGGATGACACGCAAATTCAGGAAGCATTCCATATTTTTCTTATTTTTTTAACTAATTAAAAAAATTAATTTTATGTCTGTTGTGGCATCCGATTGCTGCCAATTTGTAAGCCTCCTTGAGTCGCCTTTGGGCTGAGAAAAGCGGAATAGAAATACCGTAAATATATATTATTATTATTATTATTAACTTTATTTATACCCCGCAAAATCTCCCAAAGGACTCGATGCGGCTTACAAAGGCCAAGGCCACCAACAAACAACAACATACAAATACAACAATAAAACACATAAACAAATAATAAAACATCAAGCAAAACAATAAAACACTAAAAACAATGACACCACGACGCATTTAAAACCTAAAGGCCGGGCCAAATGTAATGGACAAAATTTAAAAAGTGCTGGACTTGACAGGTGATATGTAGAGGTTTTTTGGAAGTAGGTGCAATGTGCAGACAATCCTAAATCTCTAACAAAGTGCATTTGGGACATGAATGCCAGGAGTTTCCTATTCTGGAAAGGCACACTGGAACAGCCAGGTCTTCAAGCTCTTCCTAAAGACTGCCAACGTTGGGGCTTGTCTGATGTCCTTGGGGAGAGAGTTCCAGAGTTGGGGGGCCACCACAGAGAAGGCCCTGTCCCTCGTCCCCACCAAACGCGCCTGCGACGCAGGTGGGATCGTGAGCAGGGCCTCTCCAGATGATCGAAGGGAACGTGTGGGTTCATATATGGAGATGCGGTCACGCAGGTATGCGGGTCCCAAATTTATTTATTTACATTTATATGCCACCCTTCTCACCTGGAAGGGGACTCAGAGCAGCTTACAAGATATATATACATACAATATATTCAATTATTAGCATAGTATAATATCAGCATTTTATATTACTATATTGCACTATAACATTATATTGTAATATTATTAGTAATATTACATGTAATATAAAATATATAATTATAATATCATATTATTGGTATTATATTGTATTACATTATAATATTATCAATATTATAGGTATATACAATATATTATATTATATTATATTAAATATATTACATTACATTACATTACATTACATTACATTACATTATATTATATTATATTATATTATATTATTAGAATAGCACAGGAGACAAAATGGAGCTGTATTCTGCCCCCCCTCTCTCTTCACTTTGGCCCAGAGCAGCAGTTGGTGCTGGAGGGAAGGGTCCCCAACTGATGACATATGCAGGAGACAAGATGGAACTATCCCCTGGCCCCCTCTCTCTTCACTCTGGCCCAGAGTGTCAGTTAGTTTTTGATGTATTGTCGAAGGCTTTCATGGCTGGAATCACCGGATTGTTGTAGGTTTTACAGGCTGTATGGCCATGTTCTAGAAGCATTCTCTCCTGACGTTTCGCCTGCATTTGTGGCAAGCATCCTCAGAGGTTGTGAGGTCTTGCAACAAATGCAGGCGAAACGTCAGGAGAAAATGCTTCTAGAACATGGCCATACAGCCCAAAAAACCTACAACAACCCAAATAAAATTTTGTGTCTGCCACAAACTAGGTTGAATTGGTTGAGACTTGATGAAGTACTCATAGAGCAAAATGTGCTTCAGGATTTTATTAGAAAAGACAACCAAGAAATTTATTTTAAAGAGACATAAGAAATCTCAAAGACCAAAAATATAAAGAAACTAGAAGGCAAAGAAATAGAAAAAGGAAGGAAAAGAATAGATAACACAACCGGGGAAAACCTGGAAGCCATCTTATCTTCCTTCTTTTTTCTTTTACTTTCTTTTTTTCTTTTTTCTTCTTCTATTTCTCCTTCCTCCAACCCTATTGTCCTTAAATAATTTGTTCCCACACTTTCATTGTAAACTTTTTTCTTTTTAAACTTTGCTCACACTCCAGTCTATCCGAGTTAATTTTACTTTTTTTTTTGTCGTGTCAGGAGCGACTTGAGAAAGTCGCTTCTGATGTGAGAGAATTGGCCATCTGCAAGTATGTTGCCCAGGGGACTCCCGGATGATTTGATGTTTTTATCATCCTTGTGGGAGGCTTCTCTCATGTCCCCGCATGAGGAGCTGGAGCTAGTAAAGGGAACTCATCCGCCTCTCCCCGGATTCGAACCTGCGACCTGTCGGTCTTCAGTCCTGCCGGCAAAGGAGTTTAACCCACTGCGCCACCAGGGGGTTCCTTTACTTTCAATAAAAACAATAAAAAATACAAGATAACATGCAGACCCAGAATCCCCAGTGACATCAGAATGGCCAACAAGCCCAGAGTTCCCAGAGAGTTCAGGGGCAGGCACAATCAGAGGCTGAACTACAACAGTGCTGCTCATTTTCCCCCAATGGCCTCCCCTACAGGACTACATGATGACTGCAGGACGTGGGGTTCCTTACGGGGGCGGCATGCCGGCGGACCTCCTACACCATCAGACGGCAAACTCCATGTCGCGGTTGGCTTATGGGCAGTCGCCGGTGGGACTCTACACTCAGAACCAGCCCTTGCCGGCAGGTGAGTTGGGCCCACAGACCCCTGTGTTGGAAGGGAGGAGAGGGGGCTCTGCCTGTCTCCTGCCCACAGAGTCTCCATCCTTATTGGCCAGACATGTTTGCCACATAGGATTGGGGGAATGCACCTTGCAGAAACAGCAATAAAAGCTTTTCTAGAAACAGTTTGGAAGCAGTTAAATGAATTTTGTGGAATATAAGATGAGAATGCCACAGAATATATGTTGTTCTCTTTGAGTAAACATCTTAGTTTGTGTCATAACCAGTTTATGTAACTGTAGTTAAGAAAATTATGAATAGACAAGGAAGAGGATGGGAAGTGCAAAGACTACGCTGTAGGAGTTGGAAGAATATGCCGTAGAGTTGTTTAGTGGGTTTGATGAGTTCATATTGATAGTGTATGGAGTGTATATTGCATAATTAAGTTTTGACTTGAATCTCTTGGGCCATTTTTATTTATTTGTCGTGTCAGGGCAACCAGTCATTTATATTACATTTCTAACAGAACAAAGCAAACAAACAGACAAAATACAAAATTTGTGAGTTTGGTAGTTGATTAAATGTCCTTTGACCAGTAGCTGGCCACTTGAAGTGCTTCTAGTGTTGCTGCAAGAACATTGTGCATGTGGCAGGGCTCAGGTTGCATTGCAGCAGGTAGTCTGTGGTTTGCTCCTCTCCACACTCACATGTCGTGGATTCCACTTTGTAGCCCCATTTCTTGAGGTTGGCTCTGCATCTTGTGGTGCCAGAGCGCAGTCTGTTCAGCGCCTTCCAAATTGCCAGGGTTTTCTGTGTGCCCAGGGGGGAGTCTCTCATTTGGTATCAGCCATTGATTGAGGTTCTGGGTTTGAGCCTGCCACTTTTGGACTCTCGCTTGCTGAGGTCTTCCAGTGAGTGTCTCTGTAGATCTTAGATCTTTTGCCATTGAATCTAATGCACACCTCGATTTCCAAAACCCTGAAACTAAAGAAAAGTGTTTGCTGCCCAATGTAAGGCACAGCGGCATAAAATGCACTCATTGCAAAGCTTTGAGCATTGGAAAATAAAACCTTGGGGTGCATCTATACTGTAGAGCAGTGGTTCTCAACCTTCCTAATGCCACGACCCTTTAATACAGTTCCTCATGTTGTGGTGACCCCCAACCATAACTTTATTTTCATTGCTACTTCATAATTCTAATTTTGCTACTGTTGGGAATTGTAATGTAAATATCTCATATGCAGGATGCATTTTCATTCACTGGACCAAATTTGGCACAAATACGTGATATGCCCAAATCTGAATACTGGTGGGGTTGGGGAGAATTGATTTTGTCCTTTGGGAGTTGTAGTTGCTGGGATTTGCAGTTCGCAAATCCCAAATACACCAATGATAGAATTGGGCCAGATCTGGCACATAGAACTCCCATGTACAACAGAAAATATTTGAAGGGTTTGGTGGACATTGACCTTGAGTTTTGGAGTTATAGTTCACCTACCTCCCGAGAGCACTGTGGACTCAAAACAATAATGGATCTGGGCCAAACTTGGCACAAATACTCAATATGCCCAAATGTGAACACTAGTGAAGTTTGGGATTTGGGAGTTGTAGTTGCAAGGACTTATAGTTCACCTATAATCAAAGAGCATTCTGAACCTTACCAATGATAGAATTGGGCCAAACTTCCCATACAGGACTCCCATGACCAACAGAAAATACTGGGCATTGACCTTGAGTTTTGGAGTTGTAGTTTACCTACCTCCAAGTAGAGCACCGTGGACTCAAACAATGATAGATCTGGACCAACCTTGGTACGAATACTCAATATGCCCAAATGTGAAAACTGGTAGAGTTTGGGGAGAATAGAACTTGACATTAGGGAGTTGTGGTTGCTGGGATTTATAGTTCACCTACAATCGGAGAGCATTCTGAACCACACCAAAGATAGAATTGGGCCAAACTTCCCACACAGAACCCTCATGACCAACAGAAAATACTGTGTTTTCTGATGGTATTTGGCTACCCCTCTGACACCCCCCTTGCGACCTCTTCCCGGGGCCTCGACCCCCAGGTTGAGAAACACTGCTGTGGAGCATTAGATTCAAGTGGACAGAGTAAGAAAATGATGTAATCATTTAAAAAATAGATCCCCATCTTGCTGCCTGAAGCACCCCAAAACATTTTAGTGTCTCCCCCCCCCCCCCCCCCCCCCCCCCCCCCCCCCCGTGTCCATATTCATTCTAACATATCCCTCTTGCCTCCCCTTTTGCCTGCAGGCGGCCCTCGGCTGGACACTTCCTACCGGCCGGTGCGCATGCCGCAGATTGGCAAGCTGGTACCAAGCCGGCCTCCTTACACGGGGGTTCTGCCCACCAGCATGAGCAGCATGATGGGAATCGACCCAGCCTACAAGTCTTCCATCTACCGGCAGCAGCAGCCGCCCGTGCCGCAAGGGCAGCTCCTGCGACAGCAACTCCAGGCCAAGCTGGTAAGAGCCTCACGGTCCCTGGCTCCTTCTTGTGAGGTGGTCACACAGCAAGGTTACAGTGCTCTTATGCCACTTGGCTGCTGCCTGTGGGATTCTGGGCTCTGTAGTCACTCGCTGTGTCTCTCTTGTCACTTTCCCAGCAGGGCCAGGGGATGGTGGCGCAACCCTTGCGGCAGATGGCTCCCGCCCCATCTTATGCAGCTGTGCAGCCATCACAGGTGAGCTGGGAAGGGGCACCAGGTTGGAGGGCTTCACTCTGCCCAGCTGCCTCCCAGTTGGAAATGATGGGACTTGAAGTACCTCCTCTCACTTCCCGAGACCATTGTGACCCTCATCCAATGACTGATCAAGACCAAAAGTGGCACACAGAGCCCCCATTAGCCACCCGACATCCTGTTACTGTTTGGAGGAGGATGAACCATGGACGATGAGACTCGCAGTACATTCACTAACTTCCTGAGACCACAGCAAGCCACATAAATAATAAGACCAACCTTGGCACACAGTGCCTTTCTCAAATAACCTTGGCACTGCCGTGCCCCCAAGCTAGTTGTAAATAAACCTTTTGTGATTTTTAAGATTGGCCTCTGCATGTTTGCCTCCTAAGCAAACATTTATTTATTTACTTACTTATTTTATTTCTTGCATTTGTAACCCGAGGGGGGACTCAGGGCAGCCTCACAGTAAGTACCATTCAGTGCTGTCACAATTATAAACATTCAACAATACAATTAAAAACATTAAACAGTTAACTAAAAACAATTAATCAAAAATAGTCAATTAAACAATTGATTAAAACATGCCAATTAAAATCCTGGTCCGGGTCAATTCATTATCATGAGTTGCTTAAATCTTCTTCCCACATTGCTGCTATTCAATGGTCAAACATTTGGTCCCATAGCCAAGTCTTGAGTTTTCTTCTAAAAGACAGGAGGGAGGTGGCCAGTCTGATGTCCCTGGGGAGGGAATTCCACAGATGGGGGGCCACTGCTGAGAAGGCCCTGTCCCTTGTCCCCACCAATCCCGTTTGCACAAGAATGAGAATGTTATTGTTGTTTTAAACTGCTTCTTTTGTTATGTTTTATACTTATTATCAATATATATGGATTGTTGTTTACATGATTTTAATATGTTGTAGGCCACTTTGAGTCCCATAAGTCATCAGCTGGAGACCCCTCCCCCCAGCATCAGCTGCCGCTCTGGGCCAGAGTGAAGAGGGAGGGGGCCAGGGGACAGTTCCACCTTGTCTCCTGTGCTATTCTAATAATATAATATAATATATTGTACATACATATAATATTTATAATACTGTAATGTAATGTAATATAATAATAATAAGCACCGGGATTGTGGCGCAGCTGGCTGAGTGTCAGCTGCATTAAGATCACTCTGACCAAAGGTCATGAGTTCGAAGCCAGCCTGGGTTGGAGTGGGTTTCCAACCAATTGTGTAGCCTGTTGTTGACCTTTGCAACCTGAAAGACAGTTGCATCTGTCAACTAGGAAAATAAGGTACACCTTAAAGTGTGGGGAGGCTAAATTAACTAATTTATGAGGACATAAAAAAGACTCCAGCAAAGCACTCCAGCAAAAAGCATGCGGGGAATGCGGAAGTACTTCATCAGTGTCGCAGATGGACGATGAAAGCGACAGCTCCCCTAGCGGCCAGAAAAAGTTAAATAGCCTCTGTGTATGTCTGTATATGTTGTATGTTAAAATTGGCATTGAATGTTTGCCATATATGTGTACACTGTAATCTGCCCTGAGTCCCCTGCGGGGTGAGAAGGGCGGAATAAAAAAGCTCTAAATAAATAAATAAATTACATGTAATATTATTAATAATATCACGATATAGCAGTATGGTGCAATATAGCAATATTTAATGCTGATATTGTACTATGCTAATAATATAATATATTGTATGTAATATATACCTTGAAAGCCGCTCTGAGTCCCCTTCAAGGTGAGAAGAGTGGCATATAAATATCATAAATAAGAGAGAAAAGTGGGATATAAATAAAGGTTTATTAAGCTCTGAATTCTTTAGAGCCACGTCACACGACATTTCACACTTTGCTTGCTAGTGAGCCGATGCTCAACTTTTGTACCCTGTTTGTTTTTGGATTCTCTGCTATATATTTTAGGATAAATATATTCCCTAACACTTCGAATGTGCTTTTCCTGCATGGCAGGAGGTTGGACTAGATGGCCCACGCAGTCTCTTCTGACTATGGTTCTATGAATTCTGTTCCTTCCTCAGGGCTACACCCCCTACGTCTCCCACATCGGTCTCCAGCAGCACCCCTCCCAGTCCGGCGCCATGGTGCCCCCCTCCTACTCCAGCCAGACCTACCAGAATGCACACCCCGGCTCCAACCCGACCTTCGTGGACCCCACCAGGCCCATGCAGCGGCCCAGCGGCTACGTCCACCAGCAGGCCCCGGGCTACGTCCACAGCTTGAGCGCCGCACAGAGGTACCTGGGAGCAGGGAGCGGGGGGCGTGGGCAGCGTGGTTGTTCTAATGCCTCCTTCCCTCCTGCTGACCGTTGAGCCGATCTGACAAATTTCTTGAGCAGAACTGTTCTCAGGAGCTATTGGGGGGCATTGTCCTGCAACTCGGTTGCTGCAGTGGATGATCTCCTGTTTCCCCATCAGTTACACAGGAGGTTCACACAGTAGCTTTACACACAACAGCCTTCACACTGGGGCTTCCTCTCACCAAAGCTTCTCACAGACTAAGGCTTACCTCACACAGAGGTTTCTCTCACAGACCTAGACCAACCTCACACTGTGAGGCTTTTTCACAGACTGAGACCTTTCTCCCACTGAGGCAAACTAACACAGAGGCCTGCTAAACTACAGGCACACCTACTTATATAGAACTTCAGCTTTTGCTGAGTCATTTTGCTGAGAGAGATATTGACAAGCTGGAATGTGTCCAGAGGAGGGCGACTAAAATGATCAAAGGTCTGGAGAGCAAGCCCCATGAGGAGCGGCTTAAAGAGCTGGGCCTGTTTAGGCTGAAGAAGAGAAGGCTGAGAGGAGTCATGATAGCCATGTATAAATATGTGAGAGGAAGTCATAGGGAGGAGGGAGCAAGCTTGTTTCTTCTGCCCTGGAGACTAGGACGCGGAACAATGTCTTCAAACTACAAGAAAGGAGATTCTATCTGAACATTAGGAAGAACTTCCTGACTTTGAGAGCTGTTCAGCAGTGGAACTCTCTGCCCCGGAGTGTGGTGGAGGCTCCTTCTTTGGAAGATTTTTTTAAAAAGAAATTTTATTAAATTTTTATATAGAATACAACAAAAGAGTGAGAACAATAAGGTATAGAAAAATGAAGAAAAAAAAGAGAAAGGGAAAGGCCAGTAAAGTAAAAGGTAAAAAGGACATCCTAAATAAACCCTAAAAAAAAAGATTTTTAAAAAATATATAAACTACAAAAATACATCCACACACACAAAAAGAAAAAAAAAGTGACTTTGGAAGATTTTAAACAGAGGCTGGATGGACACACATTTCTTTCCCATGAGGTCTTTTCCAACTTTATGATTCTATGAAACATCCTTTACAATTACTCCTTTACTGTCCCACATTTTGTCTGTTTTTGAAATGTCCTGGTTTCTCTGTGATTCTATGGTAGCACTCTATGGTAGTACCCGGAATGTGGTGGAGGCTCCTTCTTTGGAAGCTTTTAAACAGAGGCTGGATGGCCATCTGTTGGGGGTGTTTTGAATGCAATATTCCTGCTTCTTGGCAGGGCGTTGGACTGGATGGCCCATGAGGTCTCTTCCAACTCTATGATTCTATGATTTAACCCTTTCTGTGCATGACTCACATTTTTGTAACTAAAAATACCTAGTTAATTTTTAATATTTCTGACAGGTTTTCCCATCAGTCGATGCAGCCGGCCCCCATGATGAGCGGGGTGAACCACATGGGTGCCCAAGGGGTCCCGGCAGGCATCCGGCCCAGCCAGCTCCTCTCGGACCAGCAGCAGCAGCAATACCTGAGGCAGCAGCAACAGCAGCAGCAGATGCTCAGGGTAAGCATATTGGGAGTCCACAAAACCACAAAATGGGGCAGCAACCCCAAAGGGGGCAGAAGAGCAAAGGGGTGCTGCTGGGTTTGCCATTAAGAAGGGTGTCATTTTGTTTGGTGGCAGAAACCATACCCATCTGACTTTGGAGATTAACTATAGTGCAATAATATCCCCAGAATTATGTTCAATGACTTTTGGAATGGCGCCGGATTATGATTGTGGGTGGCATGATTTTTAATAGTGATTTTAATGTTTTATATGTTTATAATGTGCATTTAATTTTAATTTTAAATCTCTGACTTAATATATTTTAACTGTTTGTTGTTTAAATGCATTGAATAGTTGCCATATGTAAAGCCTCCTTGAGTCCCCTTCAGGGTAGAGAAAGGCAGGATACAGATAACGTAAATAAATAAACTGACTGATGGAAAAAGAGGGGAACCACACTCATGTGGTCACTCCATGTTCAAATTGACCAATGTCAGTCCTTATCTTTAGAGCATAGAAACAAGAATGTATGTATGTGTATTTTATAAATACACATACATACATTCTTGTTTCTATGTTTGCTTTGTTTGCTTATCTTTAGAGCCCCCGGTGGCGCAGTGGGTGAAACCACTGAGCTGCTGAACTTGCTGACCAAAAGGTCCACAGTTCAAATCCGTGGAGAGGGGTGAGCTCCCGCTGTTAGCCCCAGCTTTTGCCAGTTCAAAAACATGCAAATGTGAGTAGATCAAAGGGTACTGCTTCAGGCAGGAAGGTAACGGAGCTCTATGCAGTCATGTCATAGAATCATAGAGTTGGAAGAGATCTCATGAGCCATCCAGTCCAACCCCCTGCCAAGAAACAGGAAAATTGCATTGCCACATGACCTTGGAGACATCTACAGACAACGCTGGTTCTTCAGCTTAGAAATGGAAATGAGCACCACTCCTCAGAGTCGGACATGACTAGACTTACCCAACCCTAACCCTAACTAAGGAGCCCCCGGTGGCGCAGTGGGTTAAAGTGCTGAGCTGCTGAGCTTGTCACAGGTTCGATTCTGGGGAGCGGCATGAGCTTCTACTGTCAGCCCTAGCTTCTGCCAACCTAGCAGTTTGAAAACATGCAAATGTGAGTAGATCAATAGGTACCGCTCCAGCGGGAAGGTAACGGCGCTCCATGCAGTCATGCCAGCCACATGACCTTGGAGGTGTCTACGGACAACACTGGCTCTTCGGCTTAGAAATGGAGATGAGCACCACACCCCAGAGTCAGACATGACTGGACTTAATGTCAGGGGACTACCTTTACCTTTACCTTAACCCTAACTAACCCTTTACCTTTACCTTAGTCCTTATCTTTAGCACATTTTACACATGGATGCTGGCCATACACCCCCACAATTCATACACAATGAAACGTTGCTGGAAGGGTAACAGTGGGTTAGAATGATAACAATTTGTCTAAAATTATTGTTGCTCTGCAGAACCCCTCCTTCTGAATCAAATTGTGATGGTTTTGAACAGGGTCCCGTGCATAGACATGTGTTTGGGCCTTTCTCTCTCGTTGCTTTTCTCTCTCTCTCTGTTGTTTTTTGGCTTACCTTGATGTCTTTTCCGCTCGCTTGACTTCCTTTTCATTTTGCTGTACCTGAAAAAAACGCCTGTCGGTTGGCTTGAAACACGGCACACGCAAAACTCTCCAATGCTAGAAGTGGGTCAGGAGCGTCCCTCGAGGGGCAGAGCGGCCCTGACCCTCGGCCGACCCCTTTTGTACCTTAGCCAGGCTTTCGTCAACATTTTGGAAGCAACCCGCTCACCGTCCTCTTCTCTTTTCTTCTCCGCTGCCCTTTTCTTACTTCCTAAAGTCCCTGGGACTTGATGTGGCCTGGATGAGCCAAGTTCTACCTCTGAACTGAATGGCACAAGTGCAACAAGGAAAAGTTACATCTTGCAACCACACGCTGTGTACTTAATAAAATTGTTAACTTTTATTTAAAGATTGCCTCAGCTCCGTCTATTCTGAGTCCAAAGTGCAATTTCTCACAATATTACAACTTACCTCACGTGGTGGCAGAAACGTAGGGAAAAGTAACCAAATAAATCTACATTCTTCTCTCCAGTCACGCTACAGTATATACAGTGTAATTATTACTAAGTTATTACTTTCTTAATAAAGGAGGAGGTGCAATTGAACAGCCTCCCTTCTAACTTGATGGTAAATTTGGTTCCTAATCGGCAACCTCCATTGCAAGTCGGCTAAGTCTTTTTAAAATTGGGAACTGGGGAAAAATCTCCTGAATACTGGTTCCTTTCAAATTGGTGGCAACAATAAATCATCCCCCAGCTCCCCTGCTTCTTTTCAAATTGGTGGCAGACGACGGGATACGATTAACAACTGATTGAGTGCCTTAAGACTACTTTGAGAATAATTTGTGAGGTAAAAGTTATTGAAATATGGCTACCAGATGACAGAAAAAACTTGTTGAGGAAACAATGGGAGACCAAGAAGGAAGTTTGGGCTCTGAAGCAGAAACAGAGCCAGTGTCTGTGTCAGAAATGGCACAGACTAGAGATGAAACGATTGGAAATAGAGGCAAAACAAAGGGAAAGAGAGTTTGAGGAAAGACAAAAAGAGAGAGAACAGGAGATAGAATTGAGGAGAATGGAAATTGAACTGCAAAAGCAAAAAATTAGCCCACCACCCCCCCTCACTTCCTCTGAGGATGCTTGCCATAGATGCAGGCGAAACGTCAGGAGAAATGCCTCTAGAACATGGCCCTATAGCTCGAAAAAACCTACAAGAACCTAGTATTTCCTAAATTTACTAAGGATGACGATATAGAGAAGTTTCTAACCTTGTTTGAGCGATGTTGTAAAGATTTTGGAGTTGCTGAGGAAAAATGGATGACGTACTTAAGGCCTCAAATAAGTGGAAAGCTCTTAGAAATATATGGAGAAATGCCTGAGGAGTCCTATGGGGATTATGATTTATTTAAGAGACAGGTTCAACAGAAATTTCAATTAACACCTGAATTTTACAGATTCAAGTTCAGGACTCTGAAAAGAGATAAGAACCAAAGTTTCGCTCAGGTGGCCTCTAGATTGTCTCAACTGTTCGATAGTTGGCTAAGGACGTCTGAGGTGGAAAATTACCAACAACTGAGAGAACTTTTAAAATTGGAACAATTTTTCCAATTGATACCTTCCGATTTTCGGTGGCTGGTACAGGATCGAAAGCCATCCACTGTAGTAGAGGCAGCGGTTATGGTAGATCAATTAATTACCCTAAAAGAAGGATTCAAAAGGGAAGATCTGCCAAATGATAAAAGGACAAACAGGCAGCCATTTTACCAACATCAAACGCGCCCACAACAAGGAAAAGGTCCTGCAATAGAAAACCCCTCCTGGAGGAGGCAGAGTGTAACAAGTCAAACTGCTCCTGAGGGAAAAATTAGGTGTTTTCAGTGTGGAAAGTGGGATCATATAAGGTATCAATGTCCCCTTTTAAGAAAAGAAAAGACAACCCTCTTCGTTAATAAAGTAAAAGAAACAAAGAAAACAGAACCAAATACTGTGTCAAAGGAGAGTTCGGAAACGGTGCCTCAAGAGAAACAATGTTTGTTCATTTTGTCAAACACCGCAACTGAGGATTACTTAGAATCCATTTCCATTGACAACAAAGACATGAGAGGGTGGCGGGACACAGGATCTGATGTGTGTATTATACATCCAGATATAATACCTCAGAAATTTCAGCATCCTACCTCTGAAATAAGATTAAAAGGCTTGGGACCTGCAATACCAACAGCAGTAGTGTCTTTGCCAATAGAATATGGAGGTTGGAAGGGTATGTGGGATTTTGCAGTCAGTCCAGACATACCATACAGGTGTTTAATTGGAAATGATCTGGCTAAAAAGATTGGAAAGTGGAGAATGATGTGTGAGGAGGAAGAATATAACAGCAAAAGCCCTGATCAAAAAGCCATGTGTTTCGCCATACAACAGGAGGGGGATGAGAATCCAGAATCCAGCACTATGGTTGCTGAGCTTATTAAGAAGACAGGAGGAGTCAGAGAAATTCAACAGGAACAAAGAGCAGATGAATTTCTAAAACCTTTGTTCGCTTTGGCTCAAAACCTCACAGTATCAGCAAAAGGGCAGCCCTCCAAGTTTGTGTTAAAGAATGGTGTCTTGTATAGAGAAACCAGAAACATGAAGTCAACAGAAGGATCAATGACATGTAATCAGATTGTAGTGCCTCAAAGTTTTAGAGAACAGCTGATGAGGGCGACACACGAGAACCCTCACGGTGGTCATCTGGGCGTGAGGAAAACCACAAAGAGGATCACTAAAAACTTTTATTGGCCTGGCATGTTCCAGAAGATCAAAGAGTTTTGCCAGTCTTGTGATATCTGCCAAAGATTGAGTACTGGAAGGGATAAAATTAAAGCTCCTATGATCCCTATGCCGGTAATTGCAGAACCATTTTACAGAGTGGGCATTGACATAGTTGGTCCTCTTTGTAAGCCAAGCAGACGTGGTTACAGATACATTCTAACCATGATTGACTACGCCACAAGATATCCAGAGGCTGTAGCTCTAACTAACATTGAGACAACAACGATTGCAAATGCACTGTTATCCATTTGGGGAAGAACTGGTTATCCTAGAGAATTGGTTTCTGATTTGGGAACTCAATTTACTTCCAGACTTATGTCAAAATTGCTTGAGTTATGTGGAATCAGACACCTGACTTCAACAGCTTATCACCCACAGACAAATGGACTAGTTGAAAATCTGAACAAGACTTTAGTCAAAATGATAAAGTCTTACAGTCAAAAGAAGCCATACGACTGGGACGTCAAAGTACAACAACTGTTATTCACCTACAGGACCGTCCCTCATGACAGTACTGGCTACAGTCCGCTTGAATTGCTATATGGAAGGAAAGCTCATGGTCCATTAGACCTGATAAAGGAATACTAGGAGGAAAATCCAGCAACAGATCCAGTTCCAGTG